TGTCTGAGTCATCACGGCAGATCCTCATGATCAGCTTGGTGCTGTCCTCATGAGCGTGAGTTTAGTTGTCACTCACCTGAGACCTTGCTGTTTAAAGGTGTGGCACTTCCCACCCCTCAGGTGCTCCTGCTCTCATCATGCCAATGTGCCTCCTCCTTCACACCTTCCACCATGACTGTAAACTTCCTGAGGCCCTCACCAGGAGCAGATGCCAGCCCCATGCTTCCTGCACCCAGCTGCACTGAGGCCATAGGCCAATTAATCTCTTTTTAAATACCGTCCACTTTAACCTAAATTATTCCTTCATAGCAATGTAAATGTCTAATACAGCATTCAAACTCTGAACGTACTTTGATTAAAATCTATCTTAAGAACCTCATTAAAAAGATTCTTATCATGCTTTAATAGAAACATTCGTCAGATTACTAAACATTTTTTGGCTTACAAAAATTATGCTCACTTACAAAGGACTTTAAAAATGTTGTTTTTGTGTGTGTTAACTCTGCCTATAATCCCAGCACTTTGGAGGCCAGGCAGGTGGGCGACACAGGATTCAGGAGCTTTTAGAGACCAGCCTAGCCAACATGGAGAAACCTGTCTCTACAAAACACAAAATTAGCAGGCGTGTGGTGGTGCATGCCTGTGGTCCCAGCCACTCGGAGGCTGAGACAGGAGAATTGCTTGAACCTGGGAGGCGAAGTTGCGATGAGCCAGATCGCACCATTGCCTCCAGCCCACCTGGGCAACAAGAGCGAAACTCCGTCTTAAAAAAAAAAATTGTTTTTATATTGGATAATCACATTTTGCAGCAAACCCTTTTAGCTTTGAGACATTTCCACTTTTTTAGACCCTGTCTACCACTGAACCAGATCAACTACTGGAAGCTAGGATGAAGGCATATAATCATATTCTTTATCAGATACGTCTACTTGCAAGTTTTGAAAGATCTCAAGCTGTGGTGGTGCAGGAAGTGAAGAGTGGTAATTTCTTGGCAGGATCAGCTCACGGCACAAATCAAAGTGGCAATGTCAGGGACAGCATTGCTAGCTATACCCAAACTGTGTCCTTGCTAGATGGATTCTGTGATCTACGGTTTTGGCTGTGTAGCTACCCTCGCTTCCGTTCCTGGCCTTTTTCTAAGCCTGGTTTTCATAAGTCATCTAAAAGAATTTTATCACTATCCAATGCTTCTTTTAAGTCAGCGGAAGTTGTTAAGTGATATGCTATTTTGAGATAGGGTCCTGCTCTGTCACTCAGGCTGAGTACAGACGGTGTGATCGTGGCTCACTGCAGGCTCAACTTCCCAGGCTCAAGTAATCAGCTCCTCACATCCAGCCTCCCAAGTAGCTGAGACCAGCAGGTATGTGCCCCCATGCCCAGCTAATTTAAAAATGTTTTTTTAGAGACGGGAGTCTCACCTTTTGTTGCCTAGACTGATACCGCTTTTATAAACAAGAGCCTTGACTACTACATCATCATATCATCTATTGCACATGCACACTCTCCCAGAATAGTTTTCCTAACCTGGAGCAAAATGCATCAGAATGTTTGAAACAAAACCTTGCTTTTTATTATAACTTAAACCATGATTACAGTTTTTAAAACTAAAATAAGAAATGATAAACTTCACAGCTTTCAATTCATTGATTCTGTTATAAAAAGAATATGATACTGCTGGGTGTGTGGTGGCTCATGCCTATAATCCCAGCACTTTGAGTGGCGACTGAGGTGGGAGATTGCTTGAGCCCCAGAGAGTTTGGGAACCAGCCTGGGCAACATAGTGGGACCTCATCTCTCCAAAATATTGAAAAATTAACTAGACTTGGTAGTGTGCACCTATGAGTCCCAGCTGCTCAAGGAGGCTGCGGTGGGAAGATTGCTTGAGCCCAGGAGGTCAAGGCTGCAGTGAGCTGTAATCCCATCACTGAACTCCCAGCCTGGATGACAGAGCAGTAATTATAGGTGAGCCACCATGGCCCCAGCTCACGAGTAGACACTACAAATAAGTTTTTTTTTTTTTTTTTGGGGAGCGGAGTCTCGGCTCTGTCGCCCAGGCTCAGAGTGCAGTGGCCAGATCTCAGCAGCTCACTGCAAGCTCCGCCACCTCCCGGGTTCACGCCATTCTCCTGCCTCAGCCTCCGGGTAAGCTGGACTACAGGCCTCCTGCCACCTCGCCAGCTAGTTTTTTTTGTATTTTTAGTAGAGACGGAGTTTCACCCGTGTTAGCCAGGATGGTCTCGATCTCTGACCCTCGTGATCCGCCCGTCTGAAAGCTCTCACAGTGCTGGGATTACAGGCTTGAGCCACCGCGGCCCGGCATAAAATAAGTTTATTGTGCTCAGCTGGCCTGATTATTTGCATGAGAACTGACCAGAATAGTGGCAAAATAAGTTTTAGTAATATATTTGGCCTGATTATTTGCATAGGGGGCAATAAGAATAGTGAGTGGCCACCTAGGCTCTTTTAAGTTGGTTTTGTTGGAACATTCATAAGGAATTTTGGATTAGACTTTTAAAAGCCTTAAGGCTAAGAAGACAAGCCAAGGATCCATCATCAGACTGTTCCCATAATACCTGTATGCATTGGGTGAAATCCTCTCTTCCTGAAGTCCCCAAAATATCTTGAGGTTCCTGGGCTTGTGAGAAAGTGACATTTTTTACTTATTGCAAGGTCATGGACCTTGTTAGGGAATCTTTGAACAATAATGATTGCTCAAGGAATTGCTTTGATCAAAGGGACAGTCATGTAGTCTGAAACAGGTTCCAGGACCACTTCTCTCTTGTTTAAAATTCAGCTTTGGTCCTTTGTAATATTACCCCCTCCATGGGACTCAACTTCTTAGGAATGAACCTTCCTAATGATGTGAGATATTGACCTAAATATGACCCAAATACATGATTGTTCTGCAATGGTGAGTCAATCTTCCCAATCTTTTTAATCAGCTCTATAAAGTAAACCTTGGCTGGTGCAGTGGCTCACACCTGTAATCCCAGTGCTTTAGTGCTTTAGGAGGCAAAGGCAGGAGGATCTCCTGAAACCAGAAGTTCAAGACCAACCTGGGCAACAAAGCCAGACCCAGTCTCTAAGAAAAAACAAAAAACAAAACAAAACAAAAAATTAGCCAGGCACGGTGGAGTGCACCTACAGTCCCAGCTACTTAGGTCACTGAGTCAAGAGGACAACTTGACCCCCAGAGTTTGAGGCTGTAGTGAGCTATGATCATGCCATTGCACTCCAGCCTGAGCAACAGAGTAAAAGCCTGTCTCTAAAAAAACAAAAACAACCTCAATGTTTTAAAGCAGTCTGGTTATATCTGAAAATATGCCATTCCAATAAAAGTCTAGGTAAAATAACCAGTGTCTGTGATTGTGTCCTTAAAAGCAGAACTTTAATTCCAGCTCCATCAAGTGTGGAATTGGTTGCTTGAATAAAGTATGAATCTCAAACCAAAATTAGGAAGATGCGAAACCTGAGAGGAGACTCACTAGAGACCCCTGCTGGCTCAGTGAGATTGGGTGATAGGTACCAAGGCTCCAACTATAATATCAGCAAATGGAGGCTCGCTTCAGGTCCCTTCATGGTTGCCAAAATGTCAAGCAGCCACTAGACAACAGCACAGAGCATGTGTCTCTCTGCGGGAGGAGCCTGTGAGGCTGGGCCAGGATTATAAGGTTTCTGTTTCACGAAAGGACAACGCAGAGGCCCAGGAACAAAAATACCAGAACCAGAAACCCCAGGGACCTGCATACCTCCTTCTTTTCCTCCTCCTCAGGCTAGGGCCAGCCATCCCTCCTGCTGGTGCTGACAGAGTCAGCCCTGTACCTCAGTGGAGCAGAGCACAGCATAGTTCACTGAGGCAGAGCTGGGCTGGACTAACAGCTAAACGGCTGAGTTACCATTTAATGTGTATAGTTTGGGAAGATAAGAAAGTTCGGGAGATGGTGGTGGTGATGGTTGAACAATGTGAAGGTGAAGGTATATAATGTCACTGAACTTAAAAATTGTCAATTTTATGAATTTTATGATATATATTTTACCCTGCTGCCAACACCACACACACACATGCACACACTCTCACTCTCTCTCTCTCTAGAGTTTACCCTCCATATCTGTGAGTTCCAAATAAATGGATTCAACCAACTACACATCAAAAATATTTGGAAAAAAAGGATGATTGTGTCCGTATTGAACATATACCAACTTCATTTCTTGTGATTATTCCCTAAAGTATACAGTGTAACAACTACTTACATAGTATTTACATTGTATTAGGTACAAATAATCTAGAGATGGGACCAGGTATGGTGGTTCACACCTGTAATCCCTGCACTTTGGGAGGTAAAGGCGGGCGGATCACTTGAGCTCAGGACTTCAAGACCAGCTTGGGAAACATGGTGAAACCCCATCTCTAAAAAAAAAAAAACAGAGCTACAAAAATTAGCTGGGCATGGTGGCACATACCTGTAGTCCCAGCTACTCGGGAGGGTGAGGTGGGAGGATTGCTTGAATGTGGAAGGCAGAGGTAGAAGGGAGCTGAGATCATGTTACTGTACTCTAGCCTGGGCAACAGAGTAAGACCCTGACTCAAATAATAATAATAATAATAAAAGTTTAAAAATTATATTTAAATTGAAATTTTGAAAACAGCCCAAATTATTATAAGTCAAAACAAATAAAATCATTTGAAATTTTTATTTATTTCTCTGAATGAACACATTGATGCTGGGTAACTGCTCTTTTAGCATTAAAAATTTGACACTTAAAAATGTTTTGGGGGAGGCTGGGTGCAGTGGCTCATGCCTGTAATCTTAACACTTTGGGAGGCTGAGGTGGGTGGATCACTTGAGGCCAAGAGTTTGAGACCAGCTTGGCCAAAATGGTGAAACACTGTCTCAACTAAAAATACAAAAATTACCTGAGCGTGGTGAAATGCGCCTGTAGTCCCAGCTACTCGGGAAGCTGAGGTGGGAGGATCGCTTGAGCCCAGAAGGTGGAGGTTGCAAGTGAGCCGAGATCATGACACTGCACTCCAGCCTGGGTGACAAAGTGAGACCCTGTCTCAAAAAACACAAACAAAAAATAAAAAAGATAAAAACAGGCTGGGCGCGGTGGCTCACGCCTGTAATCCCGACACTCTGGGAGGCTGAGGTGGGCAGATCACGAGGTTAGGAGTTCAAGATCAGCCTTGCCAAAATAGTGAAACCCCCGTCTCTATTAAAAATACAAAAATTAGCCGGGTGTGGTGGCACACGCCTGTAGTCCCAGCTACTGGGGAGGATGAGGCAGGAGAATCACTTGAACCCAGGAAGCAAAGGCTGCAGTGAGCAGCGACTGTGCCATTGCACTCCAGCCTGGGCAATACAGTGAGATTCTATCTCAAAAATAAATAAAAGATAAAAATATTTTGGGGGAAAAGGACTTTGAGAATATCAATCTACATTTTAAAAAGACTTAAGGGTTGTTTTTTTTTTTCATAAGTTTGTAACTATTTTTAACGGATTTTTTTTTTTTTTTTTGAGAGTAGGTCTTGCTTTACCAGCCTGGCTGGAGTAGAGTGGCATGATCATAACTCACTGCAGCCTCCACCTCCTGGGTACAAGTGATTCTCCCACCTCAGCCTCCCAAGTAGCTGGGATTACAGGCATGCACCACCATGTCTGGCTAATTTTTGTATTTTTTGTAGAGACAGGGTATCACCCTGTTGCCCAGGCTGGTCTTGAACTCTTGGGTTCAAGAGATCTGCCCACCTCAGCCTCCCAAAGTGCTGGGATTACAAGTGTGTGCCACTGAGCCTGACCAAAAAAGACATATCTTTTGACCCTTTTTAAGGAATCATACATATTTTTGGAATTTATCAGAAATATCACCTTTACAATGATGTTTATTTGTTTGCAACTACAAAGGACTGGACACAATCGAAATGGCCATAAGACATGGCTAAATATATGAAAGATCCTTATATCCTAAAATATCCTAGAATAGTTAAAAAAAAATTCATGAGGTAGAACTACATATGCTGATATAGAAGAATTCCCAAAATATAAAGAAAAATAACTGTAATATTTTTTATTACATAAAAAATAACATATAATATATGTAACACATATAGTATAATTTCATTTATGTTTTAAAAAGAAAAAACACCAGCCTGGGCAACATGGTGAGACCCCTCGCTCTACAAAAAATATAAAATTTGCCAAGCATGGTGGCGTACACCGGTGGTCCCAGCTACTCGGGAGGCTGAAGAAAGGGATCGCTTGAGCCTGTGAGGTCTAGGCTGCAGTGAGCTGTGATCACACCACTATACTCCATCCTGAGTGACAGAGCAAGACTCTGTCTCAAAAAAATAAAGAGAAAAGAAAATAAAAAGAAAAAATACCAAAAAACAGGTTCATATGTTTGTACATAAGAAGGTTTTTTATTTTTTATTTTTTTGAGGCAGAGTTTTGCTCTTGTTGCCCAAGCTGGAGTGCGATAGCACAATCTCGGTTCACTGCAACCTCCACCTCCCAGGTTCAAGAAATTCTCCTGCCTCAGCCTCCCAAGTAGCTGGAATTACAGGTGTGCCCCACCACGCTTGACTAATTTTTTGTATTTTTATAGAAAAAAGGTTTCACCATGTTAGCCAGGCTGATCTTGAACTCCTGACCCCAGGTGATCCGCCCGTCTAAGCCTCCCAAAGTGCTGGGATTACATGCGTGAGCTACTGCGCCCAGCCAGAAGAAATTATTAATAATGGTTAATTATGGAGAGTGCCAAAAGGAGACACCTTCCTCCCTCCCTCCCTCCCTCCCTCCTTTCCTTCCTTTCTTTCTTTCAGATGGAGTTTCACTCTTGTCACCCACACTGGGGTACAATGGCATGATCTCTGCTTACTGCAACCTCCGTTTCCTGGGTTCAAGCGATTCTCCTCCCTCAGCCTCCCCAGTAGCTGGGATTACAGGTGCCCACTACCACGCCCAGCTAACTTTTTTGTATTTTTAGTAAAGACGGTGTTTCATCATGTTGGCTAGGCTGGTCTTGAACTCCTGACCTCAGGTGATCTGCCCGCCTCAGCCTCCCAAAGTGCTGGGATTACAGGTGTGAGACACTATGCATGGCCAAGGAGACTCCTTTCTACTTATAAGCCTTCTGTATTATTTAAAAATTTTGAAAATACATTTGTGTGTGTGTGTGTGTGTGTGTGTGTGTGCGGTAAAACATACATAACAAACAACTTTTACCATTGCAACCATTGTTAAGTCTATAGTTCAGTAGCATTAAGTACATTCACATTGTGCAATCATCACTACCATCTATCCCCAGAGTCTGTTTCATTATTTGAAATTTGATTTTTTTTTTTTTGAGACATAGTCTCGCGTTGCCCAGGCTGGAGTGCAGTGGCGCGATCCTGGCTCACTGCAAGCTCCACCTCCTGGGTTCACACCATTCTCCCGCCTCAGCCTCCTGAGTAGGTGGGACTACAGGTGCCCACCCGGCTAATTTTGTTTTTGTATTTTTAGTAGAGACGGGGTTTCACTTATTAGCCAGGATGGTCTCAATCTCCTGACCTTGTGATCCACCTGGCTCGGTTTCCCAAAGTGCTGGGATTACAGGCATGAGCCAATGCGCCCGGCCTTGTCTTTTTATTTGAGATGGAGTCTTGCTCTGTCGCCCAGGCTGGAGTGCAGTGGTGCTATCTCAGCTCACTGCAACCTCCACCTCCAATGTTCAAGTGATTCTCCTGCAATGTACTGCTCTACAGTTTTTGTTGTAATTCTTTTTTGTTCAGTTTCCCCCAGAATTTATTACTACAAAGATTTTTGAAATTATATGAACAATGATGAGAAACATTGACAGAAAAAGATCAGATTGTTTTATACTAACAATGATAATGTCTTACTCAATTAAAAAATTAACCCCATTGATCTTCATTTACTTTTTATCGTCTTATTTTTAGAACCAAAATTGTTTAAAAACATTTTTTTTAGGCTGAACATGGTGACTCACATCTGTAGTCCCAGCACTTTGGGAGGCTGAGGCAGGTGGATCACCTGAGGTCAGGAGTTTGAAACCAGCCCGGCCAACATGGTGAAACCCTGTCTCTATTAAAAATACAAAAAATTAGCCAGGCGTGGTGGCAGATACCTGTAATCCCAGCTACTGGGGAAGCTGAGGCAGGAGAATCACTTGAACTTGGGAGTCAGAGGCTACGGTGAGCCGAGATCAGGCCATTGCACTGCAGCCTGGGCAACAAGAGTAAAACTCCATCTCAAAAAAAAAAAAAAAAAAATTTAAATTTAGCATGAACTAAAATCTATTTGCCATTCCTGGATAGGGCTTTAAACTTTGCTCCTCTTCTATTCTGGAAACCCAGGAATAGCAAATAGACAATGACCACAAATAGTTTTGTCCCAGAAACAAAGAATATTAGCATGAATCTAAACTGGATCGCTAAATTTGTTTCGTTTCCTATCCAGCCAAATAATTCTATATGCTTGATACTAGAATAAGTAAAAGATGTATCTGAGACCCACTGAGTAGCTGCAAGGGGAAAAAAATTAATATACAGTAGAGAAATAGGACAACGTCTTGACCAGATGATAAAAATTAACATCACCAATGAGATGCAGGTGGATAACATGTGCCATCATCAGATGTGATCTCCTTAGGACACAAAATCACTTATATAGTTTTCCATCAGGGAATGAATAACCTGCATCTAATCAAAAGTTAATAGGAGACAAATCCAAAATTGGGAACCATTTTTCAAAGAGGGGATGAGGGTGGGCACAGTGGCTCATGCCTGTAATCCCAGCACTTTGGGAGGCTGAGGCGGGTGGATCACAAGGTCAGGAGTTTGAGACCAGCCTGGCCAATATGGTGAAACCCCGTCTCTACCAAAAATACAAAAATTAGCTGGGTGTGGTGGCATGTGCCTATAGTCCCAGCTACTCAGGAGGCGGAGGTTGCGATGAGCTGAGATCGCACCACCGCACTCCAGCCTGGGCAACAGACTGAGACTCTGTCCCAAAAAAAAAAAACCAAAAAAAAAAAGGCTGAGGCAAGAGGATCACTTGAGGTCAGGACTTTGAGACAAGCGTGAGTAACATAGTGAGACCCTGTCTCTATAAAAAGATTTTTAAATATCAGTCAGGCATGGTGGCACATGATTGTAGTTCCAGCTACTTGGGAGGCTGAAGCAGGAGGATCATTTGAGCTGAGGAGTTTGAGGCTGCAGTGAGCTAAAAAGGTGCCACTGTACTCGAGGCTTGGGCAGAGCAAGACCCGGTCTCTAAAAAATTTTTTTTAATTAAAGAAAGGGACAAAGTGATTGTGGATTATATTCCTCCAAAATGGTAATGTCATAAAAGAAAAAGAAAGGCTGTGGAAATGTTCCTAATTAAAGAAGAATAAATACACATGATAAACAAATGCAATACTTGATCCTTAATTAGAAATTGTACTTCCAGAAAAAAAAATGCTATAAAGAACATTATTGAATCAACTAACAAAACTAGAACAGAGATATCTGGTTAGATAAAATTATTTTATTAGTGTTAATTTTGCTGAAGTTGGTAACTGTACTGTAGTTATCTAAAGAAATACACAGTGAAGTATTTTGGGGTAAAAGGCTATAAATGTATGCTACTTAGATTGAAATGGTTGAGGAAAAAAAGAGGAAGGTCTAGCCGGGGAGGTTGGCTCACGCCTGTAATCCCAGTACTTAGGGAAGCCGAGGCAGGTGGATCACCTGAGGTCGGGAGTTCGAGACCAGCCCGACCAACATGGAGAAAGCCATCTCTACTAAAAATACAAAATTAGCCAGGCGTGGTGGCACATGCCTGTAATCCCAGCTACTCGGGAGGCTGAGGCAGGAGAATCGCTTGAACCCGGGAGGCAGAGGTTACGGTGAGCCAAGATTGCACCACTGCACTCTAGCCTGGGCAACAAGAGCGAAACTCCGTCTCGGAAAAAAAAAAAAGAGAGAAAGAGAGACAGATCTATATATTGAAGAAAGAAAAATCAAACGAGAAAGCAAAAGGGGTAAAATGTCAATAACAGGTGACTCTGAGTGAAGGATATATGGGTATTGTCCTTTTCTTATTTTTGCAACTTTTCTGTAAGCCTAAAATTATTTCCAAATTTTAAAAAATTAATTTTAAAAACTATAGCTAAAGATTTTACACAGAGGTTTCTAGCACAATTTGTGAAAGGCAGAGAAAGAATATGAAAATTGGGAAAGGATTATCTATGTTATAACAAACTTAGAATTAAATGAAGTCACACAGTGGCTCACGTCTGTAATCCTATAGCACTTTGGGAGGCCAAGGTGGGCAGATCACTTGAGGTCAGGAGTTCGAGAACAGCCTGAGCAACATGGTGACACCCCATCTCTACTAAAAAAAATACAAAAAATTAGCTGGGCTTAGTGGTGTGTGTCTGTAATCCCAGATACTTGGGAGACTGAGGCATGAGAATCATTTGAATCCAGGAGGCAGAGACTGCAGTAAGCCAAGACTGCGCCATTGCATTCCAGCCTGGCTGGCACAGTGAGACTCTGTCTCAAAAATAAATAAATAAATAAATAAATAAATAAAATAAAAATTAAATGAAGTCAAATGATTTCAAAACAAGAGAAAACTGATTCTAAAATTTAGAGCTTATATAACACTTAAAATCATGAAAGAGGTTTACCTTAATTTAGCTGAACGTAGTACTCTGGTAAGTGAAACACAGTTGCCTTCCATGATACCCTTTCCAACCGTGGGAATAATGCTTTTGCGGCATGCAACGTATAATGAACATGCCAACCAGTGTGTAACTTCTCCCTGGCAAGCAAAAGACAAACAGAAAAACAGATATAATATTACGTTAAAATGCTTTAATTCTGGAAAGAAGAGATGTAGAATTATCTGGTCTCGGTTTTCCTTATGTAGATAAAGGGCCAGAGAAGTGAAGATATTTGCCCAAGGTCACAAAGCTGCTAGCTGTAGTAATGGGTATAAAACTCCTTACTCTTAGTTCTGTGCTTTTACAACTATAACATGATAAATTAATATTAATCTAAAGATAAAAGCCTGACTTGGTGGCTCATGTTTATAATCCCAGTAATTCGGGAGGCTGATGTGGGAGTATCACTTGAGGCCAGGAGTTCAAGACTAGCCAGGGCAACGTAGTGAGACCTTGACTCTAAAAACGAAAATAAAAAAATTAACCAGGCATGGTGGTGCTTGCCTGCAGTCCCAGCTACTTGGGTGGCTGAGGTAAGAGGATCGCTTAAGCTCAGGAGTGCAAGACTGCAGTGAGCTATGTTTGTGACACTACATTCCAAGACAGGTAACTGAGCAAGAACCTGTCTCTTTAAAAAAGAAAAAAAAAAAAAAGATAACTCTTTCACTTTCACCTACACTCCAAATCTAATACAGGCATATGCCACATAACATTTTGGTCAACAGTGGACCACATATACAACAGTGATCACTTTAAGATTATAATACTGGCCAGGCACGGTGGCTCATGCCTGGGAGGCTGGAGCGGGTGAATCACTTGAGGCCAGAAGTTCAAGACCAGCCTGGCCAACATGGCAAAACTCCGTCTCTACTAAAAATGCAAAAAATTAGCTGGGTGTAATGGCATGCGCCTGTAGTCCCACCTACTCGAGAGGCTGAGGCAGGAGAATAGCTTGAACCCGGGAGGCAGAGGTTGCAGTGAGCAGAGATCGTGCCACTGCACTCTAGCCTGGGCAACATAGGGACACTCTGGCACAAAAAAAAAAAAAGGATTATAATACTGTATGTTCTAACTGTTCTATATATTTAAAAAATTATAATTTACTGTACCCCTTTTATGTTTAGATACATACATACTTACCATTATAGTTGCCTACAGCATTCAGTACAGAAACATGCTGAACAAATTTGCAGCCCAAGAGCAACAGGCTACATTATTCAGCCTAGGTGTGTAGTAGACTATACTATCTAGGTTTGCATAAGTATACTCTGTGAAGTTCACACAACAAAATCACCTAATGTTGCATTTCTTAGACCATGTCCCTGTCATTAAGTGAAGCATGTCTGAATTATCAGAAGAGTTCTCCTAAAATTTGTCAGCATGACTTCCTTGATTTTAAGAAACGGACTTGATGATCCTGAAGTTTCTTTCTACCATTTTTGCTTTGTTTCTCTTTAACTAGTCTGGCAGGGAAAGGCAAGAACAGAGTAAAAAGTTGTCAAGGGAGTCACACATAAAAAAATTAATACTAGGCTGGACGTGATGGCTCACACCTGTAATCCCAGCACTTTGGGAGGCCGAGGTGGGCGGATCACAAGGTCAGGAGAACGAGACCATCCTGGCTAACACGGTGAAACCCCGTCTCTGCTAAAAATACAAAAAATGAGCCAGGCTTGGTGGCGGGTGCCTGTAGTCCAGCTACTCAGAAGGCTGAGGCAGGAGAACGGCAGGAGAAACCCAGGAGGCAGAGCTTGCAGTTAGCTGAGATCGCGCCACTGCACTCCAGCCTGAGCGACAAAGCGAGACTCTGTCTCAAAAAAAAAAAAAAAAAAAAAAAAAAAAAATTAATACTAATCTCCTGCAACATAAAGGAGACTGTCATTTTTGTGAGGTAAAAATTTGGGGAATTATTTACTCCAAAACATGTCATCTTTAAAATACAGTCATATGCATTGCTTAATGACAGGGATATATTCTGAGAAATGCAACATTAGGCAATTTTGTTGTGCAAACATAGCATAGCCTACTAAACCTAGGCTATATGGTATGCTTATTGTTTCTAGGCTACAAACCTGTGGAAAATGTTACTATACTGAATACTGTTGGCAAATGTAACACAATAGTAATTACTTGTGTATCTAAACACAGAAAACATATAGTAAAAATAAAGTATGTGTGGTCCATCACTGACCGAAACGTTCTGCAGTACACGACCATAGTAAGCATGGCTCTCCATATTTGTAGATATCTCAATTTACAATGCCACAAAAAGGTGACATTTGGGAATTCAACAATTTTCTACATTTGACTTCAGACATCTCCAAGCTACAGTCAGTTCATGACTTCATTGCTGAAATACAATAGGTGAAGTTTAAGGATTAAGAATTACGGATAGGCTGGTGCGGTGCCTCACGCCTGTAATCCTAGCACTTTGGGAGGCCGAGGCAGGTGGATCACCTGAGGTCAGGAGTTCGAGAGCATCCTGGCCAACATGGCGAAACCCCGTCTCTACTAAAAAATACAAAAATTAGCCAGGCATGGTGGTGCATGCCTGTAATCCCAGCTTCTCGGGAGGCTGAGGAAGGAGAATCACTTGAACCTGGGAGGTGGGGGTTGCAGTGAGCTGAGATTGCGCCTCCAGCCTGCGCGACGGGAGTGAGATTCCATCTCAAAAAAAAAAAAAAAAAAAAATTACAGATAAAGACCAGGCACAGTGGCTCATGCTTGTAATCCTAGCACTTTGGGAGGCTGAGAAAGATAATTGCTTGAGCTCAGAATTTCAAGATCAGCCTAGGAAATATAGTGAGACCCGCATCTGTACAAAAGAGGAAAAAATTAGCCGGGCATGTGGCACATGCCTGTAGTTACAGCTACTTGGGGAACTGAGATGGGAGGATCATTTGAGCCCAGAAGGTTAAGGCTGCAGTGAGCTGTGACTGACCCATTGGACTCCCGCAAGGGTGAAAGAACGAGACCCTATCTCAAAAAAAAAAAAAAAAAAAAAAGAATTACAGATGTAAATCTCATAGCACAACACAATAGTGTTCTTGTACACTGTTCCACAGACTCTCTTTAAGATCAAACCCTAGAAGGATAAAAAGATTGATTAAAAGATTTCTTACAATAATCTGAAAGGGGTCGGTAGAAATGGGTGGCCATCAATAAACCCAATGTTCCTACCCTGAAGGAATGAGAAGTTTTATTTTCTCAAAGCACTAAATGAGGCAGGTAAGCTTAAGGGTGAATATTTTTATAAGCTTTGATTAATGAATTGCTTGGGAATAGGGTCTGGTCATGGTGGCCTATGCATATTGTCCTAGCACTTTGGGAAGCTGATGTGGGTGGACTGCTTGAGTTCAGGGGTTCGAGACTAGTTTGGGTAACACGGCAAAACCCCATCTCTACAAAATACAAAAAAATTAGCAGGATGTGGTGGTATGCGCCTGTAGTCCCAGCTACTCTGGAGGCTGAGATGGGAGAAGTGCTTGAGACACTTTTTTCTCTCAAAAAAGAAAAAGAGAAAGAGTTGTTTGGGAATAGCATCTAAGTACTATAGAGCCTTTGGATACAGGCTACTAAATGAAAATTCTAGCAAGATGGTGAAAATATAACTCCTAAAATTATTGTTTCGATTTTTTTTTTTTTTAGGCGTTAAAGAATACACTGATTTTTATTTTACTTTTTAAAACAGGGTCTCATTATGTTGCCCCAGGCTGCAGTACAGTGGTGCTATCAGGGCCACTGCAGCCTTGACTTCCCAGGAATCAGGGCCACTGCGGCCTCAACCTCCCAGGTTCAAACAATCCCCCCATCTTAGCCTCTGGAGTAGTTGGGACTAAAGGCACATGCTACCACACCCAGCTAATTTTTGTAGAGATGGGAGCCCAAGCTGGTCTCAAACTCCTGGGCTCAAGTGATCCGCCTGCCTCAGCCTCCCAAAACGTTGGGATAACAGGTGTGAGCCACCATGCCCAGTCTATTTTATTTTTTGTAGCGACAGGGTCTCACTATGTTGTCGAGGCTGGTCTTAAACTCCTGGGCTCAAGAGATCCTCCTGCCTCAGCCTCCCAAAGTGCTGGGATTATAGGCATGAGCCACTGTGCCTGGCCTGATTTTCTTTCCTTAAAAAAGTCAACTATTTTATTCCATGAGAATAAAATAGAACACAATTATATTAGATAAAATCCTGTTTCATAAAAATTCTATGAATTCTATGATATCAGAAACCGGTTTTTTAATGATATCAAAAAAAGGCTTCTGATCTCACAGAACTTCACATCTGGAGCTAAGAAGAGGAACAGATACTATTATTTATAATTGGTGAGATAGAGAAGCTATAAGAAGAATTGAAAAAGTGTTGTAGGAGAATATAGTGCAGTGAATAACTGATTTTGACTAGAGTTTAGAGAAGGCCTCACAAAAGGAGACAAAATTTGTAAATCACTAAAAATGTAAGCAGGAGTTTGTCAGGTAGACTAGAGAGGGGTACGGATTGGAGAAAGACTTCTTAGGAAGCATCTGAGATATATGCAAATGACTACTCCAAATGCCTTTAACAAAAATTGATTTTAAAAAAAGGGGAAAATAAAACACTGGATAGAATAAACACAAAATTTCAGTTCATATATTGGTGTTTTCTAAAGCAAGCATTGGGCTGGGCACGGTGGCTCATGCCTGTAATCCCAGTGGTCTGGGAGGCTGCGGCACAAGAATCACTTGAGGCCAGTTCAAGACCAGCTTGGGCAACATAGTCAGAAACTATCTCCATAAAAAATTGAAAAATTAGCTGAGCAGGTGGCGTATGCCTGTAGTCCCAGCTACTGGGGAGGCTGAAGCAGGAAGATCACTTGAGCCTAGGAGTTTGAGTTTACAGTGAGCTACAATTGCACCACTGCATTCCAGGCCTGGTCAAAAGAGCAAGACTCTGTTTCTTTTCTTTTCTTTCTTTTTTTTTTTTTTTTGTGATGGAGTTTCACTCTTGTTGTGCAGGGTGGAGTGCAATGGCGCAATCTCATCTCACTGCAACCTCTACCTCCCGGGTTCAAGTGATTCTCCTGCCTCAGCCTCCCCAGTAGCTGGAATTACAGGTGCATGTCACCATGCCCAGCTAATTTTACATTTTTAGTAGAGACGGGGTTTCACCATGCTGGCCAGGCTGGTCTTGGACCTAAGAAGATCTGCCCACTTCGGCCTCCCAAAGTGCTGCAATTACAGACGTGAGCCACCGTGTGCCCAGCCAAGCCCCTGTTTCTAAGGAAGAAAGAAAGAAAGAAAGAAAAAAAGAACAATAAATAAATAAATAAAGCAAACATTGAAATTGTCCTATTCAACTCTGCCTAACTAGAGATTTAGCTCTCAACCTTTCCTGGTGTTGGGGGTGATGGGAAAGATTCCAGGCAGAGGGAACGGCATGGATATACCACAAAACTGGGAACAAGCTTGTCATATTCAAGAATCTGAAACAGGTGCACACCTTGACCATAGTTTGACACAGTAAATACTTATTCAATGACAGATGGTGTGACCTTGGGCAAGAGAGACCAAATGAGACCTAGGATGTCAGAAATACTTTTCCAGGCTTTCAAAAATCAATCTGTTTTCAATTGAGAGGCCATTCATTCTAATCTTTTTTTTTTTTTTTTTTTTTATTAGTGTCTTTCTATATAGCCCAGGCTGGAGTGCAGTGGCGCGATCTCGGCTCACTGCAAGCCCCGCCTCCCGGGTTCAGGCCATTCTCCTGTCTCAGCCTCCTGAGTAACTGGGACTACAGGTGCCCGCCACCATGCCCGGCTAATTCTTTGTATTTTCAGTAGAGATGGGGTTTCACTGTTAGCCAGGATGGTCTCAATCTCCTGACCTCATGATCCACCCGCCTTGGCCTCCCAAAGAGCTGGGATTACAAGCATGAGCCACCGTCTCTGGCTAATCTTCCTTACTTTCTTATTCTTCCCACAGCTTTCCGGTCATGCCACCCACGGATGTGGACCATTGTCCTTTACCCAGTCTATCTAGTCTGGAAGACTTTTTCAGGTACTTTTCCTTCATATATAGGCACACAGTCAATATACATCCAACTCTATGCCTTTGAACCCAGCAATTATTTCACTGGGTGGTGAGTCAGTGGTGCACCCTGGGAGTGGGTCCAGCGCCCTTGGCACATGAAAGCCTTTGAACATGGGGCCAGTGGAATGCTACATGAAATACACTCCATCAGGCTTATGCTCACCTTGCTCTTTTTAGATAGAGTCTTGCTCTGTCACCCAGGCTGGAGTGCAGTGGTGTGATCTCTGCTCACTGCAGCTTATGCCTCCTGGGTTCAAGCAATTTTCCTGCCTCAGCCTTCCAAGTAGCTGGGATTACAGGCAGGCGCCAACACACCCAGCTAATTTTTGTAGTTTCTAGTAGAGACGGGGTTTTGCCATGTTGCCCAGGTTGGTCTCAAACTCCTGGCCTCAAGTGATCCGCCCGCCTTGGCCTCCCAAAGTGCTGGGATTACAGGCGTGAGCCACCACGCCCAGCCTGGGTTTCTGTATTAGAATAACCCTGGGCAAGACAACCTTCTGAGCCTTGCCATTATCACCTGGAAAGCAGGTCTAATACTCATTGCCATGCCATGTTCACAGGGCTGTTGTGAAGATAAAATGCAAGAATGATGGGGAAAAAAATCGAGTAATTATAACTGACATTTGTTTTATTCAGAGCTAGACACTGATGCAGAGCATCAGGACGATGCTCTGACAGAGGAGGAAACACAGGGCTGAGATCAGCTTCGTATGCACACTGGCTTTGATCAAACCGCTGCACAGCAACCAGCAGCTCCACCCTGATGAAGCAGAGGGTGGAGGTTAAACGGCTCAGACCCTGGGTCTGGCTCCATCTCTAACCGTGTGACCTTGGGCCTGTAGCTTAACCTGTCTGGGGTTCCGCTTCCTCTTGCGTGGAACGGGGATCACAGAAGGGGTTCAGACGGAACTGAGAGGGTCCATTTAAAGCTCTGGCCAGTGGTGTCTTGGCAGGCAGTTCATTTTCACTTTACCATTATATTTGTTCTTACCGATTTAAGGGCACTACCATGACGTTTGTGGCGCTTAGCGGGGTAAAGTGTGGTCAGGAAGACCGGGGTTTGAGTGGCGCAGGGCCTAGGCCGCTCCTTTCCTGGGCTTCAGTTTCCCGCCTCAAAATAATGGGCGGATTGGATGAGCGACACCCACCCTTCCCGCCCCTCGGCTCCTGGCTGCGCAGCGACCCTCCTAGGTGGGGAAACTCCCACCACCCCATAGGCCGGGGAAGGGGCGGGGCAGGGGTGGGGCCTGGCGAGGGTAGGGTCCGGCCGCCCCACCTGCTGCCGCTCACCTCTAGGCTGTAGTTGCCTCGGATGGCAGTAAAGTCGTCCAGGGCTTCGGCCGCGCTCCCCTCGTCCAGGTTCAGCTCCTGGCACAGGGCCTGTAGCGCCTCCCCGGCTGCGGCGACCACCGCCACCCCATCAGCGTGGGACTCGTCCTCGAACATCCCTTCAGGCCCCGCGGGCGGCGCGCCGGGGCCCCCGACTTCTTTCTCCCGCCCAGGCGCGCTACCCACAACCACCTGCGCCAAAGCGCGCGAAAACTTGCAGTTGCGGGCGTGCCTCGTCATCCACCGTCTGCCTCCGCTTTTCTACTAAAAAAAAGTCCGTTTTTCCTCCGGAGCTCCTAGCCGTCCCTCCCCGGAAATGTGATAAGAATACGGACCTCAGATTCTGAAATACCTGGCCTTAGCCCTTGGCTGGTCGCCGGGGGCCGAGCCGGCGGGACAAAAAAAAAGAGCGGAGGGATCCTCAGCCTGCGCGCAGAGCCTGCTGGGAGGTGTAGTCCATCTCCTGGGAGATGAAGCCCGCGGCCTCCCGCTGTCTTCCTGGTTAGGCTCTTGGGTTTTTGGGCAGGCTTGCGCTGCCTACTGCGAGGTGGCCTCGTGCAGCATAGTGAGATGCCTCCTCTATCCACCGGCCCTGGGTTTGTCACTGTCCGGGGGCGCCAAACATAATCTGACTGAGCTGTACCCCTTGAGTTAGAAGATGGAGGCTGGAAGAGAAAAAAAATAGCCCCTGGACAAAGAGGGGCCTCCTGGGACTCTCCCCAAAGTTCCACTGCCCAGTGAGCGGTTCGCTAAATGACGGAGGGGAAGGACTGGTGAGGGATATTAGAATACGGATCCTCATGTTAGTCGCTAAAAGAGGCGGGCAGAGAAGACTGCAGTAATGAGGCAGGAGAATAGGGTCTGGAGGCAGGGAACCTATGGCTGTTTCACGTGACTTCCTAGAACTAAATTGAAAGGAAAACCCCAACTTTCCACGCCTAAGTAACAAAAGAACCAGAGGCTATTCCCTTGGACCTTTTATGCATGGCAGATGGGAACTTGGCCGTCCGCAAGAAACCACACTGAGTGCCTTCCAGTCTTCATTTGCAACTTTGTAACTTCACTCCAGCCTCTGAATGGTTGTGAGAGGTGACAATGTGCTAGCAGCCCTCATTCTCAGCGCCTCCTCGGCCTCAGCGTCCACTCTGGCGGCGCCTGAGGAGCCCTTCAGCCCACGGTGCCATGGGAGCCCCTCTCTGGGCTGGCTGAGGCCGGAGCCGCCTCCCTCTGCTTGCGGGGAGGTGTGGAGGGAGAGGTGCAGGCGGGAACCCGGGCTGTGCCCGGGGCTCGTGGGCCAGTGTAAGTTCCGGCGGGCACGGACTGGGGCTCGGAGGGCCCCGCACACGGAGCAGCCAGCCGGCGCCGACGGCCCAGGGCAGTGAGGGGCTTAACACCCGGGCCAGCAGCTGCGGAGGTTGCGCCGGGTCCCCCAGCGGTGCCGGCACAACCGCAACGCACTCAAATTCTCACTGGGCCTTAGCTGCCTCCCCGCGGGGCAGGGTTAGGGACCTGCAGCCCGCCATATCTGAGCTCCACCCCCTGCGGTGGGCTCCCGCGTGGCCTGAGCCTCCCCGACAGGAGCCGCCCCCTGCTCCGTGGCGCCCGGTCCCATCCACCGCCCAAGGACTGAGGAGTGCAGGCACGGCTCCGGACTGGCGGGCAGCCTGCAGCCCTGGTGCAGGATCCACTAGGTGAAGCCAGCTAGGCTCCTGAGCAGGATGGGGACTTGGAGAACTTTTATGGCTAGAGGATCGTAAATACACCAATCAGCACTCTGTGTCTAGCTCAAGGTTTGTAAATACACCAATTGATAATCTGTATCTAGCTAACTCAGTGTCTAGCTAACCTAGTGGGAACTTGGAGAACTTTTCCATCTAGCACTCTGTGTCTAGCTCAAGGATTGTAAACGCACCAATCAGCACTCTGTCAAAACGGACCAATCAGTTCTCTGTAAAATAGACCAATCAGCTCTCTGTAAAATGGACCAATCAGCAGGATGTGGGTGGGGTCAGATAAGGGAATAAAAGCAGGCTGCCCGAACGAGTAGTGGCAACAGGTTTGCGGTCCCTTTTAGCACTGTGGAAGCTGTATTCTTTTGCTGTTTGCAATGAATCTTGCTGCTGATTAGTCTTTGGGTCCACGGTGGTGTCTTTATGAGCTGTAATACTCACCGCAAAGGTCTGCAACTTCACTCCTGAAGCAAACGAGACCATGAACCCACTGGGAAGAACAACTCCAGACGCCCTGCCTTTAAGAGCTGTAACACTCACCACGAAGGTCTGCAGCTTCACTCCTGACAGCGAGACAACAAACCCACCAGAAGGAAGAAGCTCCGGACACATCTGAGCGTCTGAAGAAACACTCCAGACACACCATCTTTAAGAACTATAACACCGCAAGGTCCACGGCTTCATTCTTGAAGTCAGTGAGACCAAGAACCCACCAATTCTGGACACAGTTGCTGTCCACAACCAATCAGACTGAGGGCAGGAGAGTCTTCGTTTGCATAATACTATAATTTTGTAACTTCACCCTGGCCTCTGATTGGTTGGTTTCTGCAACCACTCAGACTGATTGTGGGTTACCACTTCAGTTACACTGAGTAAGCATAACGTGACCAATGGGAAACTTCTAGGGGGTATTTGGACCCAAGAAGATTCTGTATCTGGGCCTTTGAGCTGCTGTGTGGGTCTGCTTCCCCACTATGGAGTGTACTTTTGTTTTCAAGAAATCTCTGTCTTCGTTCTTTTGTTGTTTCATTCTTTATTTACTTTGCCTGTAATCCCAGTACTTTGAGAGGCCGAGGCAGGTGGATCACTTGAGGCCAGGAGTTCGAGACCAACCAGGCCAACAAAGCAAAACCCCGTCACTACTAAAAATATAAAAATTAGCTGGGCGTGTGGGTGCACCTGTGTAATCCCAGCAACCTAGGCAACTGAGACATGAGAATTGAGAATTGCTTGAACCGGGGAGGCAGAGGCTGTAGTAAGCCAAGATTGCACCAGTGCACTCCAGTCTGGGTAACAGAGTGAGACTCTGTCTCAAAAACAACCAACCAACCAGCTGATGACACATCTGTCAAACCCAGCCTCACCTACTTGCATTTAAAAAACCCAAAATCAATATGCTCTTCCTTATACTGATTTTTTCTGATTATCCCAGGGCATGCCCATGTAACCCAAAATTGAGCTTTTCTGAAGAGAAAATGAAGTATGGCAGGCTGGGCGCGGTGGCTCACGCCTGTAATCCCAGCACTTTGGGAGGCTGTGGCGGGCGGGTCACCAGGTCAGGAGATCGAGATCATCCTGGCCAATATGGTGAAACACCGTCTCTACTAAAAATACAAAAATTAGCTGGGCATGGTGGCAGGCGCTTGTAATCCCAGCTACTTGGCAGGCTGAGGTAGAAGAATAGCTGGAACTCGGGAGGCGGAGGTTGCAGTGAGCCGAGATCATGCCACTGCACTCCAGCCTGGTGACAGAGAAAGAAAGAAAAAGAAAATGAAGTATGGGTAGTGAAATAGATTTACTCTGCCCTTCATTTTTGATTCAGATACATATGAAGGTTGTTTCTATTTTGATCCCATTGTGTGATAGCCTCTATGATTAGCCTCCCTGTTGTGGTTTAATATTTCAGAGTTCTCCCAAAGCATGTGGTTGGAGCCTGATTATGACCTTTAAGGATTCCAAGACGAAAAAGATTATAGTATGCACCTTTCCAAATGTAATTCAAAATACATGCAATTCTAAAGCACAAAGTAAGTGTAATAAAGTACAAGAAAGGTCTAATTAATTTTCCCAAGATGTCTCTTTCATTTTGAAATTCTTAATTTTTTTTTTCCCTTTTTTTGTCTTCCAGCTTTGCTATGCCCTAAGCAGAAAATCAGTCTGCACTGGCCCCTCTCAGGACAAACTGCTAGTCTAACCTTCTAACTTTTTTTTTTTTTTTTTTTTTTTTAAAGCATTTGTAGTTTTGGGGGGGGGGGGAAACCCCCCCCCCCCCTTTTTTTTTTTTTTTTTTTTTTTGGAGACAGTCTCAGTCTGTCATCCAGGCTGGAGTGCAGTGGCAAGATCTCAGCTCACTGCAACTTCTGCCTCCCGAGTTCAAGCAATTCTCCTTCCTCAGCCCCCCGAGTAACTGGGACTACAGATGCACGCCACCACACCCGGCCTTTTTTTTTTTTTTTTTTTTTATTTTTAGTAGAGATGGGGTTTCACCATGATGGCCAGGATGGTCTTGATCTCCTGACCCCAGGAGATCCACCCACCTCGGCCTCCCAAAATGCTGGGATTATAGGCGTGAGTTACCATGCCTGGCTGGACCTCACCATTCTTTTTTTTTGAGATGGAGTCTCACTCTGTCGCCCAGGTTGGAGTGCAGTGGCATGATCTCCGCTCACTGCAAGCTCCGCATCCTGGGTTCACACCATTCTCCTGCCTCAGCCTCCCGAGTAGCTGGGACTACAGGTGCCCGCCACCACGCCCGGCTAATTTTTTTTTGTATTTTTAGTAGAGACGGGGTTTCACCCTGTTAGCCAGGATGGTCTTGATCTCCTGACCTCGTGATCCGCCCACCTCGGCCTCCCAAAGTGCTGGGATTACAGGTGTGAGCCACAGTGCCCGGCCGACCTCACCATTCTTAATCTTCTTTTTCCTCAGAGGAAAAACTAAAGTGGTGATCTGTAAGCTGGGTCTGCACTGTGGAAGTAGTGCATTACAAAGATTAATAAAGCCTCTCTACCCACAAAATGGGGAAAGGACTGCATACAATCTTAGAAAAGCAAATGTAAATGGCTTTTAGATGTGAAAAGATGCCTAACTTTTTTTCTTTCTTCTTTTCCTTTCTTTCCTTTCTCTGTTTCTTTCCTTCCTTCCTTCCTCCCTTTCTTCTATTTATTTATTTATTTATTGAGATAGAGTCTCACTCTTGTCACCCAGGCTGGAGTGCGATGGTGCAATCTCGGCTCATCGCAACTTCCACCTCCTGGTTTCAAGCAATTCTTCTGCCTCAGCCTCCCGAGCAGCTGGGACTACAGGCATGCGCCACCATGCCAGGGTAAATTTTGTAGTTTTTAGTAGAGATGGGGTTTCACCATGTTGGCCAGGATGGTCTCAATCTCTTGACCTTGTGATCTGCCCGACTTGGCCTCCCAAAGTGCTGGGGTTACAGGCGTGAGCCACTGCGCCCAGCCCTAACCTTTCTAATAGGAAAAATATATGTATACAAGTTTAAGCCAGTGTAAAACCATATTTTAAATCTATTCAATTGTCAAAAATCCAAAAGTTTGAAAATGTTCCAGCGACTCCCCATTTCTTTCAGGGTTAAGCCAAGCTCCTTGTCCTGGCCTACAAGGCACTGAGGGTCTGGTGGTCCCCTGTCTAACTCTGCCTTCATTTGCTACTCTCCCCTTTCTTACCCTACCCTAGTCATATTTGTGATTCCTTATGGCTACCTTTTTTTCCTTTAATTTGGAAAAATGCAAACTCAATTTTTATTTAGTCATAACTGCAATGTTTAAAAAAAGTGAAGCATTTCATCCAAATCACTAACTAAAAGATAATAGCTAAGAATACTTGAACCAGATATCAAAGAATTGGGGGAAATGGGGGCCGGGCATGGTGGCTCATGCCTGTAATCCCAGCATTTTGGGAGGCTGAGGTGGACAGATCACTTGAGGCCAGGAGTTTGAGCCCAGCCTGGCCAAAATGGCAAAACCCTGTCTCTACTAAAAATACAAAAATTAGTTGGGCATGATGATGCTCGCCTGTAGTCCCAGCTACTCGGGAGGCTGAGGCAGGAGGAGAATCACTTGAACCGGGAAGGCAGAGGTTGCAGTAAGCTGAGATTACACCACTGCACTCCAGCCTGGGCAATAGAGCGACACCCCGTCTCCAAAAAAAAAAAAAAAAAAAAAAAAAAATTTTAATGCAATTAACCATTAGATATTTCCATTCTTCACCTGTCAGTTGTTCCATTTTCTTTCTTTTTTTCCCATATCACCTCCAAAATGTCCCTCCATTGCCCTAGATAGCTCAGCTCTGGCTCTCTGTGCATATTCTTCAACCAAGCAAGAGCCTGAGAATCAGATTGATGGTGACTATTTCTAATTAGTTCAGTGTGCCTCTTGGGGGTCTCCCACAATTCCACATGCAACTTATAAAAGTGGTCGCCCAGCACAAACTAATCTCTTTTCCCAGAAAATTTCTGCTTGTAAGAAATTTTTCTCCATTTATGCTTAAAGCAGACAGTAGGTACTCAACAAATAATAGTTCCCATCCTAGAGCCATTTGAGGATCTGACGTCGGTTATAGGAGAGGGAATCATGAAAATGGAAAAAAGGGGAGAAGGAGTGGAAACCTTGGATATATTGGGATATATTTACCATTACACCAATTCAGAGATTTTTTTCTTGCTTGGAGGTTTTTTCCTTTTTTTTTTTTAGATGGAGTCTTGTACTGTCGCCTGGGCTGGAGTGCAGTGGCATGATCTTGGCTCACTGCAACCTCTGCCTCAGCCTCCTGAGTAGGTGAGACTACAGGCACATGACACCATGCCCGGGTATTTGCATTTTTAGTAGAGACAGGGTTTCACTATGTTGGCCAGGTTGGTCTCAAACTCCTGACCTCATGATCTGCCTGCCTCGGGCTTCCTAAGTGCTGGGATTACAGGCATGAGCCACTGCACCTGGCCACTTGGAGTTTTTAAGGGAAAGGAAAAGGAAGAAGACAGGGCCATAAAGGATTTCACAAAAATACATCATTAAATATGAAACTATTAGAATGGATTGCTGGCCAGGCATGGTAGCTCACATCTGTAATCCCAGCACTTAGGAGGCCAAGGTGAGCAGATTACTTAAACTCAGGAATTTGAGACTATCCTGGGCAACATGGCAAAACCCCATCTCTACCAAAAATATAAAAAATTAGCTGGGCATGGTGGCACACACCTGTAGTCCCAGCTATTTGGGAGGCTCAGTGGGGAGGATCACTTGAGCCCAGGAGGCTGAGGTTGCAGTGAGTCATCATCGTGCTACTGCACTCCAGCCTAGGTAAATGAGTGAGACCCTGTCTCAAAAAAAAAAAAAAAAAAAAAAAAAAAATTATTTTATTCTTAATATTGTTGGCAATTAAGCAGACATACTAACATTGTAACATTAACATTTATTTAGAATCTCTTTTCAAGCTGTCCTTGACCTGCTTCTCAAGACTGGAATTCTGCTGGGTGCGGTGGTACATGCTTGTAATCTCAGCACTTTGGGAGGCTGACACAGGAGGATGACTTGAGGCCATGAGTTCAAGACTAGCCTACCTGCACAACATAGCAAGATTCTGTCCTACAAAAAAAAAAAAAAAAAGAAAAAATATTAGCTTATTCATCTGTAGCTCTTAGTCCCTGGTGTGAGTCCAGTACAAGGGGGAGGATGGGGAATTAACAATCACTAAATATGCACTCTGTGCTCAATCTGTGTAATACCTCTTACACATACTCTTTCATTTATTCCTTTCAACAAGCCTTTAGTTAGAAAACGCTATCTCCATTTTTTACATAAACCTGCAGTTGAGAAATAATTTTTTTTAATGTTTCCAGAAAGTCAGCTATAATGCTGGCATTTGATACCAGACCTGTACACTCCGAACTTCATAATATTTCCACTGTATTATTTTGCCTATTCCAAATATAGCTCTATTTACAGAGCAAATAATTGTGCTGATATTTGGTAAGATAGCATGTGCAATATAAAATCCAGTTTATGATTTAAATGGAGGCAGAAGATGTAGATATAGGCAAACCCTAACATCACCTATATTAGCTCTTGTTTCTGTTTTGCCTTTCCCATTTGACAAAGAACGGTTTGTAGCAGTTAAGGGCTATCTTATTTTCTGAGATGGAGACAATAGCATGAAGGGCTATTTAACAGGTATGGTTGGTTGTATGTGCCTGTAGTTCTAGCTACTTAGTAGGCTGAGGCAGGAGGCCAGGACTTCGAGGTTAGTGAGTTGTGATCATGCCATTGCACTTGAACTTGGGTGACAGAGGGAGACCCTATCTCTAAAAGAAATCAAACAAACAAAAAAAAAGATGTGAACTCTTTTTTTTTTTTTTTTTTTTGAGACAGTGTCTTACTCTGTCACCCAGGCTGGAATGCAGTGGCGTGACCTTGGCTCATTGCAACCTCTGCCTCCTGGGTTCAAGCGATTCTCCTGCCTCGGCCTCCCAAGTACCTGGGATTACAGATGCCTGCCACCATGCCTAGCTAATTTTTGTATTTTAAGTAGAGACGGGGTTTCATCATGTTGGCCAGGCTGGTCTCAAACTCCTGACCTCAAGTGATCTGTCTGCCTTGGAGTCCCAAAGTGCTGGGATTATAGGCGTGAGGTACCATGCCCGGCCAAAAACTCTGTAGATTTTTAAACTGTATCTGCAATTTTAAACTAAAAACTGCCCTCCTCTATATCTTCTTCAAGGTTTTGAAAGCAAAAAACACATTGGAGGTAATTAAATGGGTAGAGGTGGCTTAATGCTGGCATTGTTTTAAGTCTGAAAAAAGGGGGGCTGGCATCAGTGACTTCTGTGGTTTCTGAAAGGATTGGTTTTTACCTGATGTTGCTTGCCTTGTGTTTCTAGGCAGAGGACTTGCCCATGAGCTTCTGCAACCAGTTCACTCTCTGCTTAGGTTTTGGTTCGGCCCTCGCCATCTGGACTAGTAACAGAGTCTGGGAGGTGATGATGCACAGTGAGGGCTCAGGGTCACACAGCAGGTCTCTCAGATCTAGCGGCAGGCAAACACAGGTTGGAGGTAAAAGCCCCTGAGATCTATGGAAATGAACGAAGGTCTAGATAGCAAAAAGCTTACATGCCCATAGCAGCTTAGATTACAGGTCCAACTGTCTAAAAGTTTATATATCAGTGAATTGATTCCAATTTTGATCTACAAAACCTACTGGTTTCTGAGTTGCCAAACATTTCACTCTTCTGCAATAATCACATTCCAAGTAGTCTTTCTAAAGTCAAATTATCTGGACCTCCCAAGCCATGTCTAATGTTAATATCTAAGTTCCTGTGTTGGTACTAGAAGTAACTCTTACATCACTATCCTCTTTTAATTACAAAAAAAAAACCCAAAAACTTTTAGTTTTTAATGTTTTCTTTTCTTTTTTCTTTTTCTTTTTTTCTTTTTTTTTTTTTTTTTGAGATGAAGTCTCCTTCTGTTGCCCAGGCTGGAGTGCAGTGACACGATCTCGGCTCACCATGTTTCACCATGTTGGCCAGGCTGGTCTTGAACTCCTGACCTCAAGTGATCCACCCACCTTGGCCTCCCAAAGTGCTGGGATTACAGGTGTGAGCCACCATGCCAAGCAGTTTTTATGTTTTCATATTACAAAATAAATACATGTTCATTGTGCAGAAAATTTAGATATTACATGTAAGCACAAGAAGAAAAGTCACCCATAATCCTACCATCTAGAGATAACTACTGTTATTTTCAATGTATATCTTTCTGGTCTTTTTTTTCATACATTTATATTTACATATATATGCTTTTACTTTTTGTCCAAACGGAACCGTATGACCTAGGAATTGCAAATGCTGGTTTTATTTAATGATACCACATCATCATTTATCTGAGTCATTTAAAAATTATTCTAGCACTTTGGGAAGCCTAGGGAGGTGGATCACCTGAGCCCAGGAGTTCAAAACCAGCCTGGGCAACACGGCAAAACCCTATGCCTACATAATATCAAAACATAAAACACTAGCCAGGTGTGGTGCCTTGTGCCTGTAGTCCCAGCTACTTGGGAGACTGAGGTGGGAGGATCCCTTCAGCCTAGGAGGTAGAGATTGCAATGAACTGAGATCGTGCCACTGCATTCCAGCCTGGGCAACAGGCTGAAATCCTGTTTCAAAATAAATAAATAAATAAATAAATAAATCAAATGAAAATTATTCTATAATATTTTTCATGGGTATTCAGGTTGAGGATCCCGTATCCAAAATGTTTGGAAGCAGAAGTGTTTTGGAAATTAGACTGTTTCGGATTTTGGAAGACATGCATATACATAATGAGATATTTTGGGGATAGGACTGAAGTCTAAACACAAAATTCATTTATGTTTCATATACACCTTATACATATACCCTGAAGGTAATTTTATACAATATTTTAAATAGTTTTGTGCATGAAACAAAGTTTTGACTGTGTGTGTGTGTGTGTGTGTGTGTGTGTGTGTGTGTGTGTTTTAAACAGAGTCTCACTCTGTCACCCAGAGTGACAGATCTTGGCTCACTGCAACCTCCCTCTCCCGGGTTGAAGCGATTCTCCTGCCTCAGGCTCCTGAGTAGCTGGGATTACAGGTGTGCACCACTACGCCCGGCTACTGTTTGTATTTTTAGTAGACAGGGCTTCACCATGTTGGCCAGGCTGGTCTTGAACTCCTGACCTCAGGTGATCTGCCTGCCTTGGCCTCCCAAAGTGCTAGGATTACAGGTGTGAGCCACCACAACTGCTTCATTGTGTTTTGTCTTATGAGGTAGGTCAGGTATGGAATTTTCCCATTGTGGTGTCACGTTAACACTCAAGAAGTTTCAGGGTGGAGAGCATTTCAGATTTTGGATTTTTCTGATTAGGGATGCTCAACCTGTATATAATTCTACAATATGAATATGCTATAATTTCTTTAATTATCTGTTGTTTCCAATCTAGATTATTTCCCATTTTTGTTATTCTAAATAACACTAAAATGAATATTTCTGTAATTATTTCTGCTTATTTTCATAGATTAAATTCCTAAATAAGAATTGATAAGTCAAGTTGGGCATGGTGGCTTGCGCCTGTAATCCCAGGATTTTGGAAGTCCGAGGCGGGCAGCTCACGAGGTCAGAAGTTCGAGACCAGCCTGACCAACATGGTGAAACCCCATCTCTATTAAAATACAAAAAATAGCCGGGCATGGTGCCTGTAATCCCAGCTACTCAGGAGGCAGAGGCAGGAGAATCTCCCTCTTTTTTTTTTTGAGACAAAGTCTCACTCTGTCACCCAGGCTGGAGTGCAGTGGCACGATCTCGGCTCACTGCAATCTCCGCCTCCCAGGTTGAAGCGATTCTCCTTGAATCACACCTAAATTTTTGTATTTTTAGTAGAGATGGGGTTTCACCATGTTGGCCAGGTTGGTCTCAAACTCCTGACCTTAGGTGACCCACCCACCTGGGCCTCCCAAACTGCTGGGATTACAGGCATGAGCCATTGTGTCCGGCTCAAAGTTTATTAATTGGTAATCTTTGCCATTTCGACAGAAAAACGCATACTGGCATCTCATCATGATTTATTTTGCAAACCTCTGATTACTAGTAATATCAAATATCTTTCATCTATTTATTGGCCATTTGTAATTATTCTATGAACTGCTTATTCATATTGTTTGCCACTTTTCTTTTGAGGATTTCTAATTTGATTTAAGGGTATTAACCCTTTATCATGTTGCAAATATTTCCCTTCATATTATTGTTTGCATTTCACTTTTAACTATTTCTCTCTTTTTCAAAGTTGGTTTTTAAAATTTTGATGTAGACAAATCTACCATTCTTTTATTTTATGGATATGCCTTTGGTATCATACCTAGAAAAGGATCTCTTTTTTATTTTTATTTTATTTATTTAATTAATTTTTTTTTTTGAGACAGAGTCTTGCTCTCCTGCTCCAGCTGGAGTGCAGTGTCACGTTCTTGACTCACTGCAACCTCTGCCTCCCAGGTTCAAGCAGTTCTCGTGTCTCAGCCTCCTGAGTAGCTGGGATTACAGATGCACATCAGTATGTCCGGCTAATTTTTGTATTTTCAGTAGAGACGGGGTTTTGCCATGTTGGCCAGGCTGGTTTTGAACTCCTGGCCTCAGGTGATCTACCACCTCAGCCTTCCAAAGTGCTGGGAATACAGGCATGAGCCACTACGCCGGGCCAGGTTCTCTTTTTTATGTATAATTCTCCAAGCTCTCAAAAACGCTCAAGACCTCTTCATAATTTGGAGCTTTATACTTATTAAGCAGTGTTTTGCCTTTAAATTCATCTTGTTTGCTTCCAAAATGTAACACTTCATTAGTTTGTAGTTTCTTCCACTTGTTGCATTGAGGTCTGTCCACATGTTCCACAGAACATTCATTATTTATTTATTTATTTATTATTTTTTGAGATGTAGGCTCACTCTGTCCCTAGGCTGGAGTGCAATGGCGCATCTCGGCTCACTGCAACCTCCGCCTCCCAGGTTCATGTGATTATCCTGCTTCTCTCTCCCGAGTAGCTGGACTACAGGCATGCACCATGTGCCATCACACCTGGCTAATTTTGTATTTTTAGTAGAGAGGGGATTTCACCATGTTAGCCAGGCTGGTCTTGAACTTCTGACCTAAGGTGATCCACCTGCCTGGGCCTCCCAAAGTGCTGGGATTACAGGCGTAAGCCACCACACCTGGCCATGTTCCACAGAACATGAAATGTTAATCACATATGGTTCATTCTAATCTATATGCACATAATTATATATATTTTCTAGATCTTTCATATAGATAACTTTTGAATGGAAAAGGAAGTTTCGTCCCCCTTTTAGATTAGAAAATAATTTCCTTTTATTTGAACAGAATCAGCCATGTAGAATCCTATCCCTTGGAATAATCTCCCTTCCTCCCTCCCTCCCTCCCTCCCTCCCTCCCTTCCTCCCTCCCTCCTCCCTCCTCTCTTCCTCTCTTTCTCCCTTTGACGGAATCTTACTCTTGTCACCCAGGCTGGAGTGCAGTGGTGCAATCTCGGCTCACTGAAGCCTTGACCTCCTGAGCTCAAACAATATTCCCGCTTTGGCCTCCTGAGTAGCTGGAACCACAGGCACATACCACCACACCTCCTAATTTTTTTTTTTTTAATAGAGGCCAGGTGCAGTGGCTCATGCCTGTAATCCTGGCACTTTGGGAGGCTGAGGCAGGCGGATCACCTGAAGTAAGAAGTTCAAGAACAGCCTGGACAACATGGAGAAACCCATCTCTACTAAAAATATAAAAATTAGCCAGGCATGGTGGCGGGCACCTGTAATCCCAGCTACCTGGGAGACTGAGGCACAAGAATCATTTGAAACCAGGAGGTGGAGGCTGCAGTGAGCTGAGATTGCACCATTGCACTCCAGCCTCGGCAACAGAGCGAGACTCCATCTCAAAAAAAAAAAAAAAAATATATATATATATATATATATAGAGAGAGAGAGAGAGAGAGAGAGAGAAAGAGAGAGAGAGACACGAGGTCTCACTATGTTGCCCTGGCTGGTCTTGAACTCCTGGGCTCCAGTAATCCTCCCACCTCAGCCTCCCTAAGTGCTGGAATTACAGGTGTGAGCCATTGCACCCAGCCTCCTTTCTTTGCTTCTGGTATCTGTGAGGAAGTGGGAGACCTTAGAGAAAAGTGGCATGATCTTTCTTAAATAAACTTTAGCTCCTAGTCGTTTCACCAGTTATGTTTTTATTTTATAAGTAATGAATTGCTCAGGATTTTGATTAGATTCTGCAAGTAATAATTTTGGATTGTAAGACAGGATCATATGGCATTTTCTAATGGTAGGACTACTTCTTAGTGGGAATAAGGAATGCCTGTTTTGGCTGGGCGCAGTGGCTCATGCCTGTAATCCCAGCACTTTGGGAGGCTGAGGTGGGTGGATCATCTGAGGCCAAGAGTTTGAGACCAGCCTGACCAATATGGTGAAATCCCATCTCTACCAAAAATACAAAAATTAGCAGGGCGTGGTAGCACGTGCCTGTAATCCCAGCTACTCGGGGGGCTGAGGCAGGAGAATCACTTGAACCTGGGAGGTGGAGGTTGCAGTGAGCCGATATCAGGCTACTGCACTCGACTGTGCGACAGAGCAAGACTCCGTCTCGAAAGAAAAAAAAAAAAAAAAAAGAATGCCTGTGTCTCAGAACAGGGGATTTGAAAGAAAAACATTAAAGAAAAAAATTAAAGAAAAATGTGACTATAAAACATCTCTATTACCAAGTCCTACCTACGTTACAGGACAACTGCTTATAGAAAATAGTGCTGCAGTCATCTCTGCGGTACTTGTGAGGAATCATCATAATTTCCTAAGATAGTATTTCTAGGTAATGTCTTATTTGCTGACAGACAAGGCTCAGGAACTGTCCCCAAGACTCATCAAAGCTAGTTTCCAGACAAATAGGGTCATGTCCTTTCCTAAAGGGAAACTGGACTGGAATGGGACTGTCATTCAGCTGAAATCACCGATAGCATTCCTGCTACAAAAGCCAGGTTTTCTAGAGCTCAGGGTCTCAGCTCTGCTATAAAGCCTTCCCACAGTGGCTGCCTCAGATACCTTCCAAAATATGGGTACACCCCAAATTCAAGGACTGTTATTACTTACCATCCTCTATCCGGTCAGTACCCATCCTCCTGAGCTCATTGTGATCCATGTACTTCGATAAAAGGCCTAAAGGCAGGATAAAGTCAATGAGTACTGTGATCTGGCTTTGCTCTGGGAAATGAAGCAGCTGGTGGAATCGACCTTCTGATAATTAGGCAGATTCCAAAAACTGGGCTTCCATGTGCCTGGTAGTTACCTATAGGTAGCAGAGCCCCTTTTTCCAAGGTCATCTTCATAAAGAATGGGGATACTTGGCTGTGTGCAGTGACTCACAGCTGGGTACGGTGACTAACGCCTGTAATCCCAGCACTTTGGGAGGCTGAGGCAGGAAGACTGCTTGAGCCCAGGAGTTTAAGACCAGTCTGGGCAATGTAGCAAGACCTTGTCTCTTAAAAAAAAAAAAAAAAAAAAAATCAGCTGCGCATGGTGGCACATACCTATAGTTCCAGCTACTCAAGAGGCTGAGGGAGGTAGGATTGCTTGAGCCCAGGATGTTGAGGCTGCAGCGAGCCATGATTGTGCCACTGTGCTTCAACCTGGGCAACAAAGTGAGACCTTGTCTCAAACCACCACCCCTGCCCACACATATAAAACCCCCACACCATACATATATAAAAATGGGGATACTGACTGGGTGTGGTAGCTTACGCTTGTAATTCCAGCACTTTGGGAAGCTGAGGCAGGTGGATCACCTGAGGTCTGGAGTTCGAGACTAGCTTGGCCAACATGGTGAAGTCCCATCTTTACTAAAAACACAAAAATTAGGCCGGACGCAGTGGCTCATGCCTGTAATCCCAGCACTTTGGGAGGCTGAGGCGGGTGGATCACCTGAGGTCAGGAGTTCGAGACCAGCTTGGCCAACATGGTGATACCCCGTCTCTACTAAAAGTTACAAAAATTAGCAGGGTATAGTGGCAGGCAGCTGAATCCCAGCTACTTGGGAGGCAAAGGCAGGAGAATTGTTTGAACCCGGGAGGCAGAGGTTGCAGTGAGCTGAGATCAAGCCATTGCACTCAAACCTGGGGGACAAGAGCGAGACTTTTCTCAAAAATAAAAATAAAAATAGAAATAAAAATAAAATTAGCCAGGTGTGGTGGCAGGTGCCTGTAATCCCAGCTACTCAGGAGACTGAGGCAGGAGAATCACATGAATCCGGAAGGTGGAGGTGGCAGTGAACTGAGATCACGCCACTGCACTCCAACCTGGGTGACAGAGTGAGACTCCTCAAAAAAAAAAAAAAAAAAAAAGAAAGAAAGAAAGGAAGAAGGAAAAGAAAAAAAGAAGGGATGCTTGCCAACACAATTTGGGAAAGTATAGGACAAAAGTGACTATAGGAATGAAAGGGCGTTCTTCGTACCTACAAACAAGACTGCTGATCTTCTGACAGGAAGTTTTGGATTCTTGGAGTACATCAGTGTTTGTTCTAGGATGTTAATTTTCCCCTTGCACTTTTTTTCCTAAGTGGGGAAAAAATAAGTATAAAGTAATGAAGCAGCAGCACTCTTTTGATCAGACTTACCATAGTTTCTGGGGTCAGAGACTCTATCAGGAAGAGTATAGTAGTGTTTGAAATAACTACAGTTGTTGAATGAGTATTATACCAGAATAACAAGCCCCTAGACCAAGTTATTCTAAATCCTGTGAATGTCCCTTGCTTGCACCCACTCATGCCATATATTGTGCCTGCAATGTTTCTAAAGCCATCTTGGCTTCTCTGTATTTAAGTCCTGTTCTTTAAGCTTCACCTTGAGTTCTGCCTCCCTATGAGCTTGTCCCTGACTGCTTGCCTGCCTGACCTAACCCTGCTCCGAGCATTTTGCAGGTATTCCTCTCCTGGCACGCACTTTTTTACATCGAGGTTTTATCTCCCTTGCTAGCTTGCAGGCTCCCTTCAGGAAGTTGTTTTTTTTTTTTTTTTTTTCTTCAGAATGAGCCTCGTTCTGTTACCCAAGCTGGAGTGCAGTGGTGCAGTCTTGGCTCACTGCAACCTCCACCTCCCGGGTTCAAGCGATTCTCCTGCCTCAGCCTCCCGAGTAGCTGGGACTATAGGTGCCCGCTCCCAAGCCCAGCTAATTTTCTTTTTTGTACTTTTGGTAGAGACAGGGTTTCACCATATTGGCCAGGCTGGTCTCGAATTCCTGACCTTGTGATCCGCCTGCCTCGGCCTCCCAAAGTGTTGAGATTACAGGCGTGAGCCACTGCACCTGGCCCCCTCAGAAAGTTTTAATCCTCAGGTTCTCTATGGCCTGTCATGGCTTTTGGGTGAATGAAGGCACCTCTCAGTGGATCTTGTATAGGGATGGCACCTCAAGAATAGGAGGGGGAGGCTGGGTGCAGTGGCTCATGCCTGTAATCCCAGCACTTTAGCAGGTAGAGCTGTGTGGATCACCTGAGGTCAAGAGTTCCAGACCAGCCTGGCCAACATGGCAAAACTCCAGCTCTACTAAAAAAATACAAAACTTAGCCAGACATGGTGGTGTGGGCCTGTAATCCCAGCTACTTGGGAGGCCAAGGCCTGGGCAACTGAGTGAGACTCTGTTTCAAAAAAAAAAAAAAATAGGAGGGGGAAAATAGGATTTATTTTGATAGAACTTATGGCATAATTAACATGGACAACTTGTAGTTGACAGCACCAAAATTTCCTTCTGTAAATGCTGTTATCAGTGCATCAGCTATAGGTTTGGGTGCAGATCAGACAGATAATCCCTAATGGAATCCCCAACACAAGGGCACTGCAAGCCTGATCAGAGAAAGCTTCTGTGGGTCCTAAAGAGGCGACACATATGGAAGACTCCTGGGAATAGTCAGTCATTCCTAAGGTCTGCTAGGTGGTTCTAGGGTCAGCTTCTAGAAAACCATGGATGGGCTTGTGGAGGCTGCCCGGGCTCAAGCTTGACCCTGAGATCAGCCACAGTAGCTTCTGTGGAGTTCATGAAGAGAAATGACACCATCTGGGTCCTGGCAGAACAAGTGGCATGCTGCCATCATGCTGCATGGCCACACTGCACGGCAGCCCTTGCTTGGGACTCCCTGGACATGCCCTGATGGACAGTAAAACAATCCGTTCTAGTCAAGGAAAGGATTCAAGATAGTTATAAAAGCAATATATAACTCCATTTCAATTCAGTCCGTAAGTAACTTTTTCAGCATCAACCTGACCTTGTAGCCTCTGACCCATATTAGAAGGGCTCCAAAGAGTCCACCAGTCTTTTCGTGACTAAGGGTAGCAATCGAAACTAAATTTGTGACTCAGTTGGGAGGGAACTATAGAAACACAGATCCACAATAAAAAACAGGTCATAGGCTGGGCGCGGTGGCTCACGCATGTAATCCCAGCACTTTGGGAGGCCGAGGCGGGCAGATCACAAGGTCAGGAGATCGAGACCATCCTGGCTAACATAGTGAAACCCCATCTCTACTAAAAATACAAAAAATTAGCTGGGCACAGTGGCGGGTGCCTGTAGTCCCAGATACTAGGGAGGCTGAGGCAGGAGAATGGCATGAACCCTGCGTTTGCAAGTCTCCCGGATGCCCAGGAGACAGGCAGAGAATGGCGCGAGGACCGGGTGGTGGAGCTTTTGATGAGCTGGTCAGCCTTTCACTGCACTTCCAGCCTGGGCAACTAGGCGAGACTCCATCTGAAAAAAAAACAAAAAAAAAAAACCTTTAGTCCCAGATACTAGGGAGGCTGAGGCAGGAGAATGGCATGAACCCAGGCGGCGGAGCTTGCAGTGAGCTGAGATCATGCCACTGCACTTCAGCCTGGGCGACAGAGCGAGACTCCATCTCAAAAAAAAACAAAAAAAAAACAACCAAAAAACTGCTCATAGATATCAACTGCTGATGTGAAAAGAAATGGGAAATATTTATTGTATGCCATATTCTGTCATTAAACGGTGTGTCAGAAGAAAATAGGTCTCTCAGTATGTTAAAGAGTTAACAAAGCCATTATTGCTCACATACAAAGAATCTGCAGATTGTTCCTGCTTCAGTAGGTTTGACGTGCCAGGGATCTTTAGAGTACACTTCTCGGGGCAGCTTCCACTTCAGGAACTGGGCACATACAGTTAGGACTCGCCTGCTCTCCTGTGAAAGAGATGATCATAGATCAGCATTTTCAAACATTTTTATTTTTTTGAGATGGAATCTCGTGCTGTTGCCCAGGCTGGACTGCAGTGGTGCCATCTTGGCTCACTGTAACCTCCATCTCCCAGGCTCAAGTGATTCTCTTCCCTCAGCCTCCTGAGTAGCTGGGATTACAGGTGCCCACCACCACGCCTGGTTAATTTTTGTATTTTTAGTAGAGACAGGGTTTCGTCATGTTGGCCAGGCTGGTCTTGAACTCCTGACCTCGGGTGATCCACCCACCCTGGCCTCCCAAAGTGCTGGGATTACAGGTGTGAATCACCATGCCCAGCCTCATTTTTAAACAGAGGTAATCTTTCTTCAATAAAACTAGTACTAAAGTGCAATATGAAAAGCTGATAAAAGAGAGGAGAAGGGCAGAAAGGAACTAGAATCCTGCCCTCCTCCTCCTCCTCCAACTTCCCCAAATAGTCCTTACATGGAATCTACAAAAACCCTAGGGTTCTGGGGAGGATGTAGAAACCACTGGTGCTGGGCAAAAGTGACAGCTTGCAGATGCAATCCCTAGACCAGAGGTTTGGGCAGGAATTCCCATTACCCTGTGCCCTAGAGATGAAGCGCCCACCTCCACTTAACTGTTCCTGTGCCATTTTTCTGTCACTCTACAAAGGAAGTGCAGCTCCTGACTTCTGTCCTGTGGCATCTCTGGGTTGGAAGGAAGGAATTCCAGAGGACTGATCTCTTCCTGATCCACATCCTTGAGCAAAATTTAGCAAGTAGGTCTCTTTTCTAGTTCGTTGTTCTCAGAATGCCACCCATGCACCATGCAACACCTCAGATGAATCTCCAAGCCAGTATTTTATCTCAGGTCCACTAGATGTTTGGGCCATAAGAATTCCTTTGGCTACTGATGGGCATATAAATCACTTCAGCCACTATATTTAGTGATTTATAAATATCTAATAAAAAGTTAAAGACACCTAGATATTCTACTTCTGGGTTTATGCCCTCAAGAAACTCTCATATGCGTGCATGAGGAAATAGGTAAAATAATTGCTGCACTGTAATAATGAAAAATTGAAATGTCAGGCCAGGCACGGTGGCTCATGCTTGTAATCCCAGCACTTTGGGAGGCCAAGGCAGGTGGATCACTTGAGGTCAGGAGTTCGAGACCAGCCTGGCCAACATGGCGAAACCCCATCTCTACTAAAAATACAAAAATTAGCCAGGCATGGTCGTGGGCAGCTGTAATCCCAGCTACTTGGGAGGCTGAGGCAGGAGAACTGCTTGAACCCAGGAGGTGGAGGTTGCAGTGAGCTGAGATCACACCGCTGTACTCCAGCCTGGGTGACAGAGACCCTGTCTCAAAAATATTTGTGACATATATATATGAATGCTTATTTTCTTTGCAGAGTTGGCTCTGGATTTGAAGTTATTGAGGGATGAGAGACCCCAACAGTAGGCATTACCTCAGCTACTGCATCATTTTCATCCTGAGAATACAGAAGTAGTGGGACCAAGCTGTCCAGGACTTGTTTCTCTACACTCTTCTTATCTGGGTTTTTTACAGACTTTATGGCGGCTCCAAAGAGAGTCATGGAGAAACGATGAACATCAGGTCTCACCTAGGAAGGGAGTAGACAAAGGGAAGCAACTCACTGAATGTGTGCATGCTTAGCTTATAAGAACTTGGGAGGGGTTGAAAAGCCAGTCCTGATATGACGCTATTTAGCTGTTTGTAGCTGAGGGCAAGAAATAAAATATATGTGCACACAGTGGCTCACGCCTGTAATCCCAGCACTTTGGGAGGCTGAGGCAGGCAGATCACTTGAGGTCAGGAGTTCAAGACCAGCCTGGCCAATATGGGCAAACCCCGTCTCCACTAAAAATACAAAAGCTAGCCGGGCATGGTGATGCATGCCTGTAGTCCCAGCTACTCGGGAGGCTGAGGCAGGAGAATCGCTTGAACCTGGGAGGCGGAGGTTGCAGTGGGCCAAGATCACACCACTGCACTCCAGCCTGGGCAACAGAGCAAGCTTCCATCTCCCTCCCTCTCTCTATATATATGGACACAGTAAGACTTGTTGCTTTAGCACTACTTGTTTTCTCACTCTACAAGTGAGAGACGCACACAGTGTCACCTGTAGTCAGCAAACCTTGTGCCTGGTACAGGCAGGAACCATTCACACAGGCTGTTTTGCGGAAATTTGAAATCCCAGCCTTGGTATGTTTTACTCTTCCAAGGATGCTGGTCACTGTGCTCCATGTATTTCCTCTTGAGAAATATATGGGATTTGGGACAGGGACATAAATATCATCCACCATCTTGACCCAGTTCTGATAGTTCTTGAAGGGAAAGACAACGTTTTTGCCTTCCCCATCACAAAGCAGGGTAGTACCTTAGCAAGTTTCTAGGTTCAGTTTTTTTTTTGTTGTGGTTGTTAAATCTGAAAAACAGTAACATCTGCCCTATCAACATCACAGGTTACCTGGAAGGGTCTTAAGAGAGCAGGTTTGAAATGCTCTGAAAGTAAAAGTCCTATACCAAGTAGAGTGTATTTATTACTATACCAACTTCTGTTTGCTGTTATACCCATTACCCTCCTCCTAGGAAAGTCTCTCCTCTCTGATTATCTTACATCACTAAATAAGGAGAACAGGGTCCTCATCATGGCAGCCAGGGTAGTGAAATCCATTGTTCTAACAAGTTGCAGGAGTATCTGGATGGCTGACAGAACGATCTTCTTATCGGTTTCACGCAAGCTGTCTACGATGTACGGCAACAGGCTCTTGATGTCTTCTCTCTGTGTGGCCAAAGGGAGCACATCAGCTTTTCTCCTGATCGCACGTCACCTGGTACCAAAGGGGGTGCTCCCCATCTTTACTCAGTACCTAGTGCTCACTGATTTTTGTCAGGGCTGGCAGATCCAGAATGGAGAAGAAGGGGATATGATGGCCCTCTCTCAGTACTGGCGGGTCTGATACATAGAGGTGGGGCAGAGCTGCTTTGAGTTGCCTTGAGGGCAAAAGTGGGAGCAGGCAGAGAAGGTCTAGGGCTATGGGATTGGGCTCACTGTAAGGAAGAGCTCTGCTAACAAAGGAAAGTGGAACAGGTAGCTCAGGCCATGGTGAGCTCCCAAACACACAAGGTATCCAAACAAAGGCTCAAAGATCCTGATATGGTTTGGCTCTCTGTCCCCACCTAAATTTCATCTTGAATGAAAATTCCCACATGTAGAGGGAGGGACTTGGTGGGAAGTGATTGGCTCATGAGGGTGGCTTCCCCCAAGCTGTTCTCATGATAGTGAGGGAGGTCTCAGGAGATCTGATGGTTTTAAAGTGGCAGTTTGGCTGGGCGCGGTGGCTCATGCCTGTAATCCCAGCACTTTGGGAGGCCAAGGCAGGTGAATCACTCGAGATCAGGAGTTCGAGACCATTCTGGCAATATGGCGAAACCCCATCTCTACTAAAAATACAAAAATTAGGCCCGGCGCGGTGGCTCACGCCTGTAATCCCAGCACTTTGGGAAGCCGAGGCAGGTGAATCACCCGAGGTCAGGAGTTGCCTGACCAACATGGCAAAACCCTGTCTCTACTAAAAATACAAAAATTAGCCAGGCATGGTGGCACATACCTGTAATCCCAGGTACTCAGGAGGCTGAGACAGGAGAATCACTTAAACCCGGCAGACAAAGGTTGCAGTGAGCTGAGATCGCACCATCGCACTCCAGCCTGGGTAACAAGAGCAAAACTCTGTCTCCAAAAAAAAAAAAAAAAAAAAAAAAAAAGCCTGGCATGGTGGTGCGTGTCTGTGGTCCCAGCTACTCAGGAGGCCGAGGCAGGAGAATTGCTATAGCTTGAACTCGGATGGCGGAGGTTGCAGTGAACCGAGATCACGCCACTGCCCTCCACCCTAGGTGACACAGCGAGACTCAGTCTCAAAAAAAATAAAATAAAATAAAATAAAAGTAGCAGTTTCCCCTGCTTTCTGTCTCTCTCCTGCTCTGCCATTGTGAAGATGTATCTGCTTCCCCTTTGCCTTCCGCCATGATTGTAAGTTTCCTGAGGCCTCCCTAGCCGTGCGGAATTGTGAGTCTAGTAAACCTCCTTTGTTTATAAATTACCCAGTCTCAGGGAGTATCTTTATAGCAGTGTGAAAACAGATCCCCGGGCAGAAATTCAAGCAGAATTTGACTGAGGACTTAAGGGTTCTTCTTATTCTGAAAAGGGATTCTGCTCTTCTGAAACTACTGAAAGGAAGCAGTCTCAGGGTTGTAAAGTTTAAACATACACATGAAAAAGTAAGTAGAATATAAACACAACTTAGGAAGTCAATTTTTTAAAAAAAGAAAAAGTAAGTAGAATAAAGCAATAGATATTAATGTACCCAATCAACCAGAATTAACGTACATTGACATTTGTCCTTTTTGCAAAAACATTGACATTTGTTCCTTTTTCACTGTGTTGGCCAGGTTGGTCTCAAACTCCTGACATCAGATGATCTGCTCGCCTCGGCCTCCCGAAGTGCTGGGATTACAGGCACGAGCCACTGCACCTGGCCCCAAATATTTTAAAATAAAATATTTAGTGAAGTGGCTCGTGCCTGTAATCCTAGCTATTCTGGAGGCTGAGGTAAGAGGACTGCTTAAGGCCAGGAGTTCAAGGCTGCAGTGAGCCATGATCATGTCACCGTACTCTAGCCTGGGCAACAGAGCAGGACCCTGTCTCTAAAAAAAAAAAAAAAAAAGGAAAAATAGGCCGGGCGCGGTGGCTCATGCCTGTAATCCCACAGCACTTTGGGAGGCTGAGACGGGCGGATCATGAGGTTGAGACCATCCTGGCTAACACATGAAACCCCATCTCTAGTAAAAATACAAAAAATTAGCCAGGCGTGGTGGCAGGTGCACGTCGTCCCAGTTACTTGGGAGGCTGAGGCAAGAGAATGGCATGAACCTGAGAGGCAGAGCCTTGCAGTGAGCCGAGATCGCGCCACTGCACTCCAGCCTGGGCGACAGAGCCAGACTCCATCTCAAAATAAAATAAAATAAAATAAAATAAAATAAAATAAAAATAAATAAACACATAAATAAAATAGAACTCCAGGTCACCTGTGGTGGCTCACGCCTGTAATCCCAGCACTTTGGAAGGGTGAGGCAGGCGGATCGCTTGAGGTCAGGAATTCGAGACCAGCCCGGCCAACATGGTGAAACCCTGTCCCTACTAAAACATACAAAAATTAGCCAGGCGTAATGGCAGACGCCTGTAGTCCCAGGTACTTGGAAAGCTGGGACTTGGAGACTTGGAGAATCGCTTGAACCCAGGAGGCAGAGGTTGCGGTGAGCCAAGATTATGCCAATGCACTCTAGCCTGGGTGACAAAGAGAGTCCCTGTCTCGAAAAAAAAAAGAAAGAAAGAAAGAAAGAAAGAAAAAGAAAAAAAAAAGAAAAGAAAAAGAAATAGAACTCCAGTGACAAAACTGAAGCTTCAGAAATTCCTCATGTCTTCTAGCTTAGGCTTAGTTTTCTCATCAGGCCTATGGAAGATGAGCTTTCTTCCAACATGAATGTCAGGGATCTTTTTTTTAAATGACAAGCATCTTGGGAGCACATCAATGGTCTTTTCAATCTACTCCATGGGGCAACATGGTATAAGGCATAAAACAATACCTAAATGCTGTCCAGGTTGTGATAATGAGTATACCTCCCATGCATATTGCAGCTATCAACTATTATGAATATATATGATTTGGATTTTTTATTTATTTCATCTAATTCCATTAACTTTTTTTTTTCTTTTTTTTTGTGGGACAGAGTTTCGCTCTTGTTGCCTAGGCTGGAGTGCAATGGTGCAATCTCTGTTCACTGCAACCTCCGCTTCCCAGGTTCAAACGATTCTCCTGCCTCAGCCTTCCGAGTAGCTGGGATTATAGGCATGCGCCACCATGCCTGGCTAATTTTTGTATTTTTAGCAGAGATGGGGTTTCTCCATGTTGGTTAGGCTGGTCTTGAACTCTTGCCCTCAGGTGATTCACCCGCCTCGGCTCCCAAAGTGTTGGGATTATAGGATTATAGGCGTGAGCCACTGCGTCTGGCCTTCTTTTTTTTTTTTTCTGAGATGGAGTCTTGCTGTGGAACAAGACTGGAGTGCAGTGGTGCCATCTCGGCTCACTGCAACCTCCACCTCCTGGGTTCACACGATTCTCCTGCCTCAGTCTACTGAGCAGCTGGAATTACAGGCGTGCGCCACCATGCCCGGCTAATTTTTGTATTTTTAGTAGAGATGGGGTTTCACCATGTTGGCTGGGCTAGTCTCAAACTCCTCACCACGTGATCCACCTGCCGCGGCTTCCCAAAGTGCTGTGATTACAGGCGTGAGCCATCGTGCCCGGCCAATTTCATTAATTTTTAAATAGACGCTACTTGCCTATTTCTTAGGCATACAATTTTAAATGATACAAAAGGACGTGCAGGCAAAAAGACCCTCTCCCACCTACTCCTGTCCCCAGGCTACCCAACTGTCCTCAGCTGTTTTCAGTTTCTTAGGTACTGTTTTGGGTGATTTATTTGTATCTTAGGAATCAGTGGTCTAGGCCAGGAGCTGTGGCTCACACCTGTAATCCCAATATTTTGGGAGGCCGAGGTAGGCAGATCACTTGAGCCCAGGAGTTTGAGAGTAGCCCTGGCAACACGGTGAAACTCTGTCTCTATCAAAATTTTAAAAATCAGCTGGGCATAGTGGCATGCGCCTGTGGTCCTTGCTACTCAGGAGGCTGAGGCAGGAGGATCACTTGAGCCCAGGAGGTTGAAGCTGTAGTGTGCAGAGATGGTGTCACTGAACTCCAGCCTGCACAACAAAGCAAGACCCTGTCTCAAAAAAAGAAAAAAAAAAAAAAGAAGAAAAGAAAGAAGAAAGAGGGAAAGAGAGAATGAGAGAAAGAAAGAAAGAGAGAAAAGAAAGAAAAGAAAAAGAAGGAAAGGAAGAAAGGAAGGAAAGAAAGAAAAAGAAAGCAAAGAAAGAAAGGAAGGAAGAAAAAGAGAGAAAGAGAAAGAAAGCAAGAAAGCAAGCAAGAAAGAAAGAAAAGAAAAGAAAAGAAGAAAAGAAAAGAATCCATGGTCTGGGGGCCCCTCCTACCATCTCCTGGTGTCCAAGAAGATTATACAGTCCCCTCAGGCCGAGAATTCTGAAGAGATGATTTCCATCTTGTAGCCAGTCTTTACAGCGGGCAACAGAGTATATGCTGGGCAGTCTCTTGGCCACTGGACTCCGGAGAAGCTGAAAGAACCCAGAGATCAACCAAAAAAATTATCTTTCTTTCATGTGGGGAACTACCTTCCCACCAATGCTAAAGTATATATTTTCCTTTTAAATCTCTACAATACAGAACATACAGGATATTTATTTACCCTATAGGTACACAAGGAATACTGAATTATGCATGTGTGGAAAGAAGAATTTCGAGAGGCTTGAATCTGAAAATTCTTTCTTTTTTGTAGTTTTTTGTTTTGTTTTTCTGAGATGGAGTCTCACTCTGTTGCCCAGGCTGGAGTGCAGTGGTGTGATCTTGGCTTACTGCAACCTCTGCCTCCTGGGTTCAAGCGATTCTCGTGCCTCAGCCTCCCGAGTAGCTGAGATTACAGGAGCCTGTCATCAAGCCCAGCTAATTATTTTGTATTTTTAGTACAGGGTGTCACCATGTTGGCCAGGTTAGTTTTGAACTCCTGAACTCAGGTGATCTGCCTGCTTCAGCCTCCCAAAGTGCTGGGATTACAGGCATGAGCCACCGCGCCCAGCCTTGAATCTGAAAATTATTTCTTTTTTTTTCTTTTTTCTTTTTTTTTTTTTTGAGACGGAGTCCCGCTCTGTCGCCCAGGCTGGAGTGCAGTGGCCGGATCTCAGCTCACTGCAAGCTCCGCCTCCCGGGTTTACGCCATTCTCCTGCCTCAGCCTCCCAAGTAGCTGGGACTACAGGCGCCGCCACCTCGCCCGGCTAGTTTTTTTGTATTTTTTAGTAGAGACGGGGTTTCACCGTGCTAGCCAGGATGGTCTCGATCTCCTGACCTTGTGATCCGCCCGTCTCGGCCTCCCAAAGTGCTGGGATTACAGGCTTGAGCCACCGCGCCCGGCCGAATCTGAAAATTATTTCTATCTTACTCTTGAAACAGAACCCAACATGCCACTAACTCGAAGTAGCCTAGGAAGGCAGGGATTGCTGCTTCGTAAGCTTCCTGAATCCAGCTTCTAAAGAATGAGTCTTACCTCCACAAAAAAGCCTGCAGATGTGAGTTTATGTTTATCATTCCCTCGGTTAAGAAAAGGCACTAATAAGTACATGACCTTCTGTGCAAGGAGCCGATTTCTTTCCAGCAATGCGCTGCAAAACACAACACCAACAGAATGACTCTCAGATATGCTCCCATCCGGAGGGCATTGCCTCAGGGCTGGGGACCCTCTGGAAGTTCTTGCCCAACTACAGGACAGTATATGGTAGGGCCAGGACCTCTGAAAAATTTGCCTAGCATTATGGATATTTGCTCACCCTCTTATAAGGAGGTTATTCAACCTTAGTTGCTGTGATAACTAGAAGGGAAATAAATACCCAAAACAATGCTGATTTAGAACAGGTGGGTGTATGCATGACAAGGAAGCCTCACTTGGCAAGCAGAAATACTCCCTGAAGATGGCCATCTTTTCCTCCCAGGAGAGCCCATCCTTTATTCTTTTCCATGATGTTGAATTCCTGCAAGCAGCATGTTCTGAGGAGGAGAGTCTTTGTAGCCTGCATGGCAAAGCTAAATCAAACAAAAACACTGTGGGTGATTTGAGTAGGTCCCTCCAACTGCCCAGCACACAATCACCCCATTCTCACAGAGGAGGGCCATGCATTGACAACTGCTGGACTGTAATTCTCTCCTTCCCAGACTGCCCAAAAGACTCTTCTCTTTTTTCTTTTACTTTCTTCTTCTTTTTTTTTTTTTTTTTTGTTTTGAGACGGAGGCTTGCTCTGTTGCCCAGGCAGGAGTGCAGTGGTGAGATCGTGGCTGGCTGCAACCTCTGCCTCCCTGGTTCAAGCAATTCTCCTGCCTCAGCGTCCTGAGTAGCTGGGATTATAGGCGCGCGCCACCACACCCAGCTAATTTTTGTATTTTTAGTAGAGAAGGGGTTTCACCATGTTGGTCAGGCTGGTCTCAAACTCCTGACCTCAGATGATATGCCCGTCTCGGCCTCCCAAAGTGTTGGAATTACAGGCATGAGCCACCACGCCCGGCCTACTTTCAAGACTAGTCAAGTGCAGTAGGGAGACCAAAAGAGTCTTAATGCTCTAATAACTTGTAAGGCCCTTTACACAAGATCTCAGCATAAAGAAATCTAACTAGGTCTCATTTCCCCAGGAGTTTAGAAGGAAATCTATGATAAAAGAAATGATCTGGGATGCTAAACAGACACACACTGCTTTTTTTTTTTAAGTTTTACTGAGATACAATTTATCCCACACAATTTATCTCCACTATTTTTATTATTTATTTATTTATTGAGACAGGGTCTTGTTCTGTCACCCAAACTGGAGGGCAAGGGTGCCATCGTGGCTCACTGCAGCCTTGAGCTCCTGGGCTCAAGTGATCCTCCTGCCTCAGCATCCAGAGTAGCTGTAATTACAGGCACGTGCCATCTGGCCCCGATAATTTAAGAAAAAACATTGTTTTGAGACAGGGTCTGGTTCTGTCGCCTAGGTTGGAGTGCAGTGGCGTGATTTCTGCTCACTGCAGTCTCAATCTCCTAGGCTCAAGCAATCTTCCCACCTCAGCCTCCCGAGTAGTTGGGACCACAAGTGTGTGCCAACATGCTTGGCTAATTTTTGTAGAGACAGGGTTTCACCACGTTGCCCAGGCTGGTCCTGAACTCCTGAGCTCAAGTAGTCCTCCTGTCTCAGACTCCCAAAGTGTTGGAATTACACATGTGGGCCACTGCACCCAGCCTAAAAATTTTTTGTAGAGACAGGGTCTTGCCCTGTTGCCTAGGCTGTTCTTAAACTCCTAGCTTCAAATGATCCTCCTGCCTTGGCCTCCCAAAGTGCTGGGATTACAGGAATGAGCCATTGTGCCTGGCCATCCACTGTCTTTAAAAGCTACTTACTGAACTGTTATCCCATACCTAGCATCAGAGAATCTTAAAGCTGGAAGGAGCCTGAGCAACACAGTGAGACCCCTTCTCTACAAAAAATAAAAATAATTAGCTGGGCATGGTGGCAGGCAACTGTGGTTCAGCTACGCAGGAGGCTGAGGTGGGAGGATCACGTGAACCCAGGATGTTGAGGCTGCAGTGAGCCATGATCATGCCACTGCACTCCAACCTGGGTGACAGACAGAGACCCTGTCTCAAAAAATAAAACAAAATAATAAATAAAGCTGGAAGGGTCCTTCAAGATCACCTTGCCTGACCTTTTCATTTATAGATAAGGAAACGGAGGCACAAAACAATAGATTTGCTCAGGGTATAGAACTAGTTGAATGGATGAATGAGAACTGCACTAGAACTCAGGTCTACTGACTTAGTCTGGTGTTCTTAAATATGTCACATTATAGTACTTTCTCTGAAAGAAATCCATGTACCATAGCAACACTAAAAAACTTCTTTATCATTATTATTATTTTTTTAGACAGAATCTCGCTCTGTTGCCCAGGCTGGAGTACAATGGTGTGATCTCAGCTCACTGCAATCTCTGTCTCCCTGGTTCAAGTGATTCTCCTGCCTCAGCCTCCTGAGTAGCTGGGATTACAGGAATGTGCCACTACGCTCAGCTAAGTTTTGTATTTTTAGTAGAGACAGGGTTTCACCATGTTGGCCAGGCTGGTCTCAAACTCTTGACCTCAGGTGATCCACCTGCCTCAGCCTCCCAAAGTGCTGGGATTACAGGCGTGAGCCACCACACCCGACCAACAACACTAAGAAATTTCTACTGAGACTCTAATGGAACTTAAAAATCTCTCTCCGGCTGGGCACGGTGGCTCACGCCTATAATCCCAGCACTTTGGGAGGCCAAGACGGGTGGATCACGAGGTCAGGAGATTGAGACCATTCTGGCTAACAAGGTGAAACCCCGTCTCTACTAAAACTACAAAAAATTAGCCGGGCGTGGTGGCAGGCGCCTGTAGTCCCAGCGACTCAGGAGGCTGAGGCAGGAGAATGGTGTGAACCCCGGAGGCGGAGCTTGCAGTGAGCTGAGATCATGCCACTGCACTCCAGCCTGGGCGACTGAGCAAGACTCCATCTCCACAAAAAAAAAAAAAAATCACTGCATGGTGGATCAGTTTTGGAGGTAGGTTTAGGCTGTTTTGTTTCCATCTCTACTTGATTTGTTAGGAAAGGGTTAACAAAATACCACATTTGGCTAACCCAGATAGCCAAATTTACCTTGTTACTAATAAAACCAAAGATAACCAATGAAAGCTCAGAATGATTCCTGGGCATTTCATCTTGATGGCTCATGAGGATTAAAGGTTGTAAGCTCCCCTCCAGTTAGAACTACATCTTGGCTATCCCTGTGTTCACCACAGTGCCCAGTGCTTAGTATGTGTTACTTAATGTCAATGAAATAATGATGGGCAGTACCACAAAGGGGTGACCTCTGGAGACACTTCCTGTTCTGTATACAGGCCACTTGGGATGTCGACATCAGACATGGTGAGGCTGATGCTATGATGAATCTGGATGAGCAGTGTCATGAGAAGCTGAGGAAAGAGTCGGAATGTAGCTGCTCGAAGTCTGTTTCCCAAAAACATCTCATAAAGGGCATCTGTTGCCTATGGTGGAAAAGACAGAGAGGAACTAAGCACCTGCCATTTTGAAATACAGAAGTCATGAAGTCATGAAGGAAATTATTAACATATTTGACTACATACAAATACAAAGCCAGGGCAACATTTACCATAAAGTTAGATGACAACAGGCCAGGTGCAGTGGCTCATGCCTGTAATCCCAGCACTGTGGGAGGCCAAGGTGGGTGGATCACCTTAGGTCAGGAGTTTGAGACCAGCTTGGTCAACATAGTGAAACCCCATCTCTAAAAATACAGAAAAATTAGCCAGGTGTGGTGGCTCATGCCTGTAATCCCAGCTACTCTGGAGGCAGAGGCAGGAGAATCGCTTAAACCTGAGAGGTGGAGGTTGCAGTGAGCCAAGATTGTGCACTCCAGTTTGGGTGACAGAGTGAGACCCCGTCTCAAAAAAAAGAAAAAGAGTTAGATGACAACAACCTGGAGAAGTATTTGTATCAATATATTATTCTTACTATATAAAATGCTCTTACATAGCAGTGAAAAAAAGTGAAGGCTTATTGGTCAAAGGGTAGGCCACGTACCAGTAGCACTGTCATCACCTGGGAGCTGGTTAAAAAGGGAGAATCTCAAGCCCCATCCCAGACCTTCCACATCAGAACCTGCATTTTAATAATATCCCCAAGTGATTGCGGTTTGTGTGCATATTAAATCTGAGAAGGACTGGTGTACAGGAAATGAACAAACAAGTCATAAAAGAAATATAAATGGCCAATTAAAAACATATACAAGGCTGGGTGTGGTGGCTCACGTCTGTAATCTCAGCATTTTGGGAGGCTGAGGCGGGAGGATTGTTTGAGCCCAGGAGTTCGAGACCAGATAGGGCAACATGGGAAATCCCTGTCTCTACCAAAAAATACAAAAATTAACCAGGCATGGTGACACTCTCTTGTATTCCCAGCTACTCAGGGAGGCTGATGTGGGAGGATCGCTTGAACCCAGGAAGAACAGGTTGCAGTGAGCTGAGATCATGCCACTGCAGTCCAGCCTGGGCAACAAAGTGAGACCCTGTCTCAAAAAGAAGAATAACAATAATGGAGAGCACAGAAAGCTGAACCATAAACTGGTCGGGGAGAAAATAAAGTAAAAAGTAAATGTTGATAGTGGAGCAGGCTGTGTGTGTGTGTGGAGGCAGAAGGTTTATGGGAACGCCGTACTGTCTGCTCAGTTTTTCTGTGAATTTAAAACTGCTCTAAAAAATAAAGTATTTAAAAGGAAAAAATGTATACCAAATAGATACACCAAAAGTTTATATATGTATAAAGACTTCTGGAAAGTTCATTTTTAGGGAGATTGTTACAGATATGAGCTAAGAAAGGTTTTTACACTTTTTAAAAAAAGGATTGTTTAAAAAAAATCCAAAGAATATGTGACAGAGACTATATGGGGCCTGCAAAGCTTAAAATACTTACCATCTGGTCTTTTACAGAAAGCTGGCCAACCTCTGCTCAGGGAGATCTGCACTTTCTTTCTTTCTTTTTTTTTTTTTTTTTTTTGAGACAGAGTCTCGCTCTGTCACCCAGGCTGGAGTACAGTGGCATGATCTCGGCTCACTGCAACCTCTGCCTCCCGGGCTCAAGTAATTCTCCTGCCTTAATCTCCTGAGTAGCTGGGATTACAGGTGGCCGCCACCATGCCTGGCTAATTTTTGTATTTTAAGTAGTGATGGGGTTGCATCATGTTGGGGTCAGGTTGGTCTCAAACTCCTGACCTCAAGTGATCGGCCCGCCTTGGCCTCCCAAAGTGCTGGAATTACAGGTGAGAGTCACTGTGCCTGGTGTTTTTTTTTGTTTGTTTGTTTTTTGAGACGGTGTCTCACTCTGTTGCCCAGGCTGGAGTGTGGTAGCATGCAATCTTGGCTCACTGCAACCTCTGCCTCCCAGGTTCAAGCAATTTTCCTGCCTCAGCCTCTTGAATAGCTGGGATTACAGGTGAGCACCACTATACCCGGCTAATTTTTTTATTTTAGTAGAGATGGGGTTTCACCATATTGGCCAGGCTGGTCTTGAACTCCTGACCTCAGGTGATCTACCTGCCTTGGTCTCCCAAAGTGTTGGGATTATAGGCATGAGCCACTGCATCTGGTCTGCACTTTGTTTTATACAGTTCTACAATATTTGAAGTTTTTTTTCCCACAAGTTTGCATTGTTCTTTAACTATGATGATACATATTTTTTAGAATATGAGGGAAGGAATGTTTTAAACATATTAAACCAGGGAGTTTCCAAGGGAGAGATGACAGTCATGGGTTCTTAATTTCTGTTTCTGGTTGGGTCAACAAAGCCCCTTCCTCATCCCTCTTTTCTGCTTATCACTAGAGACAGAAATTAAACACCATGGCTTCAGGCTGTCAAAAGCCTAAAACAAAACCAAACAGAACAACAAAAACAAAAAAAGGCAGGTTGGACAAGTTTGTATTAAAGCATTCTGACTCCTTCACTTTCCCCAGCTCCCTCCATGTCAATCTCTTGGCAGAAACACTGTAGACTTATAAATGGATGACAGATGCAGGCTTTGAGAGGGACCAAAAGGAACACTCTCCACTGGGGTGTGGGGTCAGTCATCCTGGGAGGGGCTGACATTAGAGGGGCAGAGCTCAAGGGCTTACAGCCACAGCCACATATGCCATCTTCTCCTGCGTGGGCTCATTATGGCATTTCTGCAGCTTCCTCAGGAGCCTCCACAGAATCCAGGTTGTGCTAGGAAGCTCCACCGCCAGCATTCTCCACACCTCAGCCAGGTGCCTGGAAATCCCAAAGAGCAAGAGGGTTCAGGAGAAAGGCTGATTCCATGCAATCTACAAGAGGTTCTCCTCTCTACTCAGTTCTTCAGGGTGTCAAAAGACTGATTTTGATTTCATAACAGTAACTCCCCAGGTTTTTTTGATTCCTTCTTGTGAGACTCTGTCCCCTACCAAAAAAAAAACAAAAACAAACAAACAAACAAACAAAAAAAGTGGTTGTATCCATTATTTGCCAACAAGCAGAGTAGGATTCCTATTGCTCCGTATTTTCTTTTATTTACTTATTTTTTTTAAAAATTTTATTATTCTTATTATGTGTCACTCAGGCTGGAGTCAGTGGCACAATCTCATCTCACTGCAACCTCTGTTTCCTGGGTTCAGTCAATTTCCTTGCTTCAGTCTCCCGAGTAGCTGGGATTACAGGTGCCTGCCACCAGCCCGGCTAATTTTTGTATTTTTAGTAGAGCTAAGGTGCCGCCATGTTGGCCAGGCTGGTCTCGAACTCCTGACCTCAAGTGATCTGCCCACCCTGGCCTCCCAAAGTGCTGGGATTACAGGCTGAGCCACTGCACCCAGCCAATTTTTTAAATTTTACTTTAAGTTCCGGGATACATGTGCAGAATGTGCAGGTTTGTTACATAGGTATCCATGTGCCACGGTGGTTTGCTACACCCATCAACCCATCATCTAGGTGTTAAGCCCACACGCATTAGGTATTTGTCCTGATGGTCTCCCTCCCCTTGCCCCCCACCCCCAAAACCCCCAGGTTTTATCAAATCGAGTTCCCATCGCCTCAGCATGGACTTCAAGGCCATTCATAACCTGGTCCTGACTTAACTTTTCAGCCCCACCACTTCCCCATCACACACTCTGTGCTCAAACCATCCAGACCATTCACCTTTACCTAATAAAACTCAAACTTTGAAAACCCTATAACTTTGCTTATGTAACTATCCTTTTTTTTTTTTTTTAAAGACAGGGTCTCACTCTGTCACCTGGGCTGGAGTGCAGTGGTGCCATACACAGTTCACTGCAGCCTTGAACTCCTGGACTCAAGCAATCCTCCTGCCTCAGCCACCCGAATAGCTGGGACCACAAGCATGTGCCACCATACCTGGCTAATTTTTAAATTTGTTTTTGCAGAGACAGGGTCTCACCATGTTGCCCAGGCTGGTCTTCAACTCCTGGGCTCAAGCGATCCACCCGCCTCGGCCTCCCAAAGTGCTGGGATTATAGGCATGAGCCACCGTACCCGACCCTTATGTCACTTTCTTAAACTGGAAGACTCTTTCCAAAACTCTTCTCTGCCCATCAAAACCCTTCAAGGTCCAGCTCCAGCATCACGTCTCCTAGGAATCCTTGTTTGCTTCTTCACCATGTCTTTCATAAGAGTTCTCATAGCACTTAAAAAATTTCTTTTTCTTAGAGGTCGCTTCAATCTTATGTGTGCTATCATCAGTTCTTTATGTGTGTATCTGTTCCCTCTGAAGGAAAGGATTCTTTCTGGCTCTTCTTCTAGGAATTCCTCAGGGACTTGCACAATGCCAGGTTCATAGAAGGCATTATAGACACATGTATTCAATCTCGTCTGTAGTCCTCAAATTTTGGCTAAAGTTAATCTTTGAAATAAAGCTTCGATCCTGCTTAGAAGAGATCGCTTCTAAAGAAAAATAATATGTAATAACTTCTCTGTCATTGATTCAAATGTAGGACCTGAGAGTTACGTAAACATTGTGGAAGAACATACTTACAGTGGGAAGAAAATTGGGAGTTACTCATGCTTTTAATTCATTCTTGTATTTTCAGAATCTACTCAGGCATCTTTGTACGCTAGAGTAAGTTTTTAAAGTGTGAACTTCCAGGCCAGATGTGGTGGCCTATAATCCTGTAATCCCAGCACTTTGGGAGGCTGAGAAGGGAGGATTGCTTGAGCCCAGGAGTTCAAGAGCAGCCTGGGAAACATGGCGAAACCCTGTCTCTACAAAAAAAGTAAAATTAGCCAGGTGTGGTGGTGTGTGCCTGCAGTCCCAGCTACTCAGGAGGCTGAGGTGGGAGGATCATTTGAACCCAGGAGGCAGAGACTGAGGTGAGACAAAATCATACCACTGCACTCCAGCCTGGGTGGCAGGGTGAGACTCAGGGGGAAAAAAAAGAAAAGAAAAGAAAAAGAAAGAAAAAAAAGTATGGTCTTCCAACTGTGAGAATCATCCTAAAACTTGAGAGGCTTAAAGACTATCCCAACATTTCACTCCTCACCTCAGTTATTCTAATTTGTTAATAAAGCAAAGTAAGAAGGTCCCAAAGAACTCCTAAAGAAAAGGCCAGAAAGGCAATATAGGATGCTGAAAAAGCTCACAGCTGCAGAATGATGAGATGGCAGAACAGGAACATTGATCTGGGATGACATAAAGAAATTCCCACGTTTACTTACCCTTGGTTATTTTCTCTGAATTCCTGAGGGAGTAAACGAAGTGCTTTGAGAAGCTGTTTACTGTGAGAGAAGTGGTGCAAAATGCTTTTGGTTTGCCGCACATTTTAAGTGTGCTGAAAATGCATCTGAATTTAGAAAGTGCACAGCCTTTAAGCCAATGGTTCACGAATTTCAATGCGAGAAACACCTGGAGAGTTTGTTTAAAATAAGGAAAAAATCTTCCCACCTCCAGTGATTCCGATTCTGTAGTTGTGACATGGGTTTTGTTTGCCCATCATCCCTCTGGGAAACTACCTTTTCAAGATCCTTAATAATAATCCTATTTGGTTTGTGTAGTTTGGTGGGAGCTGACTCCAAGCCAGGTTAACCAGAGTCCTGCCCGGGACATCTGTCAGAACTAAAAAGGAAATGACACCCCCTTTCCGCTGCAGTTTTGAGCTGATGGTAACCATTTTTGCCACCTTTAGTGCAAGTCCATCTGAGAGATTAATGGAGCCCTGATGAAAACTGAGTCTCGGGATTCAATCCTGATGACAGACCCTTGGACTTTGCTGTAATATAAGCCTCTACAATTCCTTAAGGTAGTGTGAGCTCAGTTTCTGCTACTTCCAACCAAGAGTCCTGACTAATATAGTAGGTCTGACGTAGGGTCTTGGAAAATGCTTTTTTTCTTTGAGACAGGGTTTTACTCTGACACTCAGGTTGGAGTGCAGTGGCATGATCATAGCTCACTGCAGTTTCAATTTCCCGGGCTCAGGTAATTCTCCCACCTCTGCCTCCTGAGTATTTGGAACTACAGGGGTGTGCCACCACAACTGGCTAATTTTGCACTTTCTGTAGAGACAGGGTTTCACCATATTGCTCAGGCTGGTCTTGAACTCTTGGGCTCAGGCCATCTACCCACCTCAACCTCCTAAAGTGCTAGGATTACAGGTATGAGCCACCATACCTCGCCAGAAGATGCATTTCTTTTTTTTTAAAACAAGTTTCATAGGGGATTCTGAGGCAGTGTTTCAGACACTTTAACAAACACTGCGCTGGGAGACCGAAGAAGCCTACATCTTTAAGAACAAATATCTTGTTGTAGCGTCCTTACAGAATAGAAAGGGAAACAGCCTCTTGTCTCTTCTGGTGGAGTGCTGGGACAGAGCACTGCACCAGGGTAGTATGAGGGACATATGTCACATATGCACTCTATGACTTCTTTGTTTGGTCCTGCAGTAGTGAACTGAGTTCCTCAAAGTATTTCATGTCCCATAGAGAAACAGTCAGTGGTGAAAATGTAGTGTAATTCCTGAGTCAGTAAATGATATCACCATTAACTTGACCTCCAAAGTCAAAAACTGAGGAGTGGGGAGTTAGCCTGAATGCCTTCTTCCTCCCTGCCATTCCTTTCTGATTCAATCAAGGTCTGCCTACAGATGCTCTTATTTCCTTTTTTCTTTTTCTTTTTTTTTTTGAAACAGAGTTTCGCTCTGTCGCCCAGGCTGGAGTGAAGTGGTGCGATCTTAGCTCACTGCAACCTCCGCCTCCCGGGTTCAAGCAATTCTCCTGCCTCAGCCTGCAGAGTAGCTGGGATTACAGGCACACGCCACCAAGCCTGGCTAATTTTTTTACTTTTAGTAGAGACGGGGTTCGCCATGTTGGCCAGAATGATCTCGAACTCCTGACCTCAGGTGATCCACTCGCCTTGGCCTCCCAAAGTGCTAGGATTACAGGTGTGAGCCATGGCGTCTGGCCAATGCTCCTGTTTCTTTACTCCCTCCTCCTCTCCATCTCTGGAGGCATGCCCTAATCAGGGCATCATCATCTTTTGCCTGAAAAGGTGCAACTGCTTCACTGCCTGTCCTTCTTCCTATCTGGCAGAACAGGCTCTAATCCATCTCCACCAGAGTCACACTAAAAATCCACATCTGATGATGTAAGTCCCTTAACTGAAGTTCTTCAGTGGCTTCCCAACTCCCGTAATATCAAGTTCACTATCCCAATTCTTAGTTGGTCCCAATCTATCGCTACTAACTTCTGACCACTTTTTAAAAGCAGCTTTAGTGGCTGGGCATGGTAGCTTGCATCTGAAATCCCAGCACTTTGGGAGGCCGAAACGGGCGGATCACGAGGTCAGGAGATTGAGACCATCCTGGCCAACATGCCTCAGCTCTAGCCATCACATCACTTTCCAGGTGGCAGGAAGAAGAAAGATGATGAGCCCACTCTCTCCCTTTAAGGTTATTTGTCATAGGTTGCATGTACTACTTCAATTTGCATCCAGAATTTAGACAAACGGTCACACCTATATGCAAAACGTCTAGGAAATAAGAGTATTTCAAATACCCAACTAAAGTTCAGGGATTCTATTACTATAGAAAATGAAAAAATAATTAGTGAATACTGTCTTAAGTATACAACTCACTGACTTTTAGTAAATTTGCAAAGTTGTGCAACCATGACGACAATCCAATTTTAGAACATTTCCATCACTGCAAAAAGATCCCTGGTATCTGAGCCCTTCTTACTATCCACTTTTCTCTCCAGCCACTTTGATCTGCATCTGGCTTTTAGCTTTCATCAGCTTGGGGGCAGCTCTGCTTTCAGAAATCATTTCCTGACCCTTCGTTTAATTAAGTCCCGACCTAGGGGCTTCCACAGAACTCCCTACTTAGCTTTAGAATACTTATGCATCTACGTGGCTACCAGATGGTGCTGCTTAAGGGCGGGGTGCATGTCCTGTCCATTACTTATAGGGCCTAATAGCACCTTGCACATAGTTGATGCTTTAGGTAGTCTCCTAAGAACAATCACCCCAATCTATATGTAAATCCACTAACGTGTGGAGTCCTAGTAACTAGGGAAAGGAAGCCAGGCTGGTAGGAGCAGGGGAAAGTAAAAAGAAAAAGCAGATAAACGTAAGTCTGCCTTTCTTCATGGTCTAGGACACGGCCCTTCTGCACAATTAACTCACCATCTTCCTCTGCCCAACTATCGCCAGACACCTTCAAATTAGCTCATTGCAACTTGGCATTATCTATACTGCACAAGGCCCTCTTCAACACACAGCATGAACACTATGCTGTAAAATCTCCACCAAGCCTTTGTCTCCTGGCAGTTGGCTTCTCTTTTGGAGGCTGCCCATTGTCTCTCTGGCACCGTTATTTTCCTACTTTCTCTTATAAATCTGCCTTCCTCTACCGACAACTGTCTTGGTAAATTCTTTTACCCGAGCGCCACCGGCCCAGTCATTGCTCCCCTGTGACATAATGAACTTCAAGTAAATGACAAAAATATAATCAGAATAACATTTCCTGGCTGGGCATGGTGGCTCACGCCTGTAATCCCAGTACTCTGGGAGGTCGAGGAGGGCAGATCATGAGGTCAGGAGATCGAGACCACGGTGAGACCCCGTCTCTACTAAAAATATAAAAAATTAGCCAGGCGTGGTGGCGGGCGCCTGTAGTCCCAGCTACGCGGGAGGCTGAGGCAGGAGAATGGCGTGAACCCGGGAGGCAGAGCTTGCAGTGAGCCGAGATCACGCCACTGCACCCCAGTCTGGGCGACAGAGCAAGACTCCATCTCAAAACAATAAATAAATAAATAACATTTCCTGAGTAAAGTCAGTTAAATTTTTAAAAGACTCCATAGTTTGCATATGATCTACAGCAGTTCTCAAAGTCCTCCCAGAGGTAGAACAAATACAAGCAATAGAATAACACTAAAAGTATACTTAAAAAAATTAAATAGGGCAGCACACAGTGGCTCACGTCTGTCACCCAAGCACTTTGGGAGGCTGTGGCAGGTGGATCACGAGCCCAGAAGTTCGAGACCAGTCTGGGTAACATCGAGAAACCACAAAAAATAAAAAATTTAGCTGGGCCTAGTGGTGTGAGCCTGTAGTCCCAGTTGCTCCAGTGGCTGAGGTGGGAAGATTCTTTGAGCCTGGAAGGTTGAGGCTGCAGCGAACTATGACTGTGTCACTACATTGCAGCCTGGGTGATAGAGAAAGACTCTGTCTCAAAAAAAAACAAACAAAAAACAAAACTAAATATATTTAATATTTTGTACTTAGATTTATTTATTTATTTATTTATTTATTTATTTATTTATTTAGAGTCTTGCTCTGTCTCCCAGGCTAGAGTGCATTGGCACGATCTCGGCTCACTGCAACCTCCACCTCCCAGGTTCAAGAGATTCTCCTGCCTCAGCCTCCCAAGTAGCTGGGATTACAGGTGCGTACCACCACGCCTGGCTAATTTTTGTGGGGTTTTTTTTTTTTTTTTTTTTTTTTTTTGAGACAGAGTCTCACTCAGTCACCCAGGCTGGAGTGCAGTGGCATGATCTCAACTCACTGCAACCTCCACCTCCTGGGTTGACACCATTCTCCTGCCTCAGCCTCCCTAGTAGCTGGGACTACAGGTGCCCACCACTGCACCCAGCTAATTTTTTTGTATTTTTACTAGAGATGGGGTTTCACTCTGTTAGCCAGGATGGTCTCGATCTCCTGACCTCGTGATCCACCCGTCTCAGCCTCCCAAAGTGCTGGGATTACAAGCGTGAGCCACTGTGCCTGGCCTAAGTTTTGTATTTTTTTTAGTAGAGATGGGGTTTCACCATGTTGGCCAGGCTGGTCTGGAACTCCTGACCTTCGGTGATCCACCCACTTCAGCCTCTGAAAGATTTATTTTTAAGTAAGAGTTGAGTACAGATAAGCTGTAGCAAGTACCAAACATTTAAGAACAATTTGTTAGAGAAATATACAAAAGCAAGCTCAAAAAAATTTTAAAAAATTTAAAAAGCTTGAGTGTGGTGGTACACACCTATAGTCTCAGCTACTCAGGCGGCTAAGGTGGGAAGATCACTTGAGCCCAGGAGTTCAAGGCTGCAGTGAGCTATGATTGAGACGCTGTCTCTTAAAAGAAAAAAAAAAAAGTAAGACTGTTACTCCAGGCTGGAGTGCAGTGACTATTCACAAGTCCAATCATCATGTACTATGGCCCCAAACTCCTGGGCTCAAGTGATTTTCCTGCCTCAGGCTCCTGAGTAGCTGGGACTACAGGTGCGTGCCACCATGCCCAGCTTTAAAAAAAATCTGCATTAATTTTTTCTCTGGATGGGTAAAAGTATTCCGTTATTCGATTTAGTTCAGTTTAGAGAACATAGTAAGCACTACACCAAGATATTATGTGACAGCCATTCACTTAAAATAATACTTTTCAAATAGTTTAAAGCAGGGAAATCTCTTCTTAAATAAAATAGTTGCCCAGAATCACAATAGAGAAAGCAGACAAAAAGAGGTGTTGCTCTGGTTAAAGTGGGGTGGGGGCATGGGACTTTATTCTGAAGCCTTCCTACCGCTTCCATAGGCATCTTTGTGGAAATTTCCAGGGTGCCTCCAAATGTGAAACACACTAGTCAAAAATACCATCTTTATACCTACTATGTACCCACAAAAATAAACAAAAAATCCATCCTGTTTGATCCTTTCTCTGATTCCAGTCTTCTTTATGTATGCATATTTACTTTTTAAATGTATATATTTATTGCCTTATTTTTAGGCAAAATCATTCTCAAGTGAGTTGCAGACATTATGACACTTTACCCCTAAATAACTTTAGTATCTGATCTCCTAAGAATAAGGACATCCTTCTGTATAACCATAGTATTTCATACCTAAGAAAATTACACTAATTTTTTTTGTTTGTCTGAGACAGAGTCTCACTCTGTCACCCAGGCTGGAGTGCAGTGGTGTGATCTCGGCTCACTGCAACCTCCTCCTCCTGGGTTCAAGTGATTCTTCTGCCTCAGCCTCCCAAATAGCTGGGATGAGAGCCATCTGCCACCATGCCCAGGTAAATTTTGTATTTTTAGTAAATTTTGTATTTTTTGTATTCACCATGTTGGCCAGGCTGGTCCTGAACTCCTGGCCTTAAGTGATCTGCCCACTTCTGCCTCCCAAAGTGCTGGGATTGCAGGTGTCAGCCACTGTGCCTGCCCAGAAAATTACACCAATTTAATATTCTAGTATAGAGTCCATATTTAAATTTTCTCCAAGCTTTCTTTATAGCTTTTGTTTTTGAACCAGGATCCAATCAAGGTCACACAATGCATTTGGGTATGTTTTTGAGTATCTTTTTATCTAGGACAGTTCCCTCACCACCAGTTTTACTTCCACGATGTTAACTTTTTTGAAGAGTCCAGTTCAATTATCTTACAGAATGTTCTTCATTTGGGATTTGTGGGATTCTTTTCTGATGATTATGTATTATATTCTGATTTATATCACCAGCTTTATGTATATCGTGTCTTCTCTACAATAGAATCATTAGATTTTTTAGGGCAACCATCTTTCACAATACCCATAGCTGTGTCACATACTCCAGTTTAATCCAGAGGCTGTACGGGGTTCTGTTACCTGTTATATGGCACTGGATGACACAGAAGGAAGCTGAGCACTATATCTGTATACTTGGGTCTGGATACAAATAAACTCACGGTATTTATGATTTGTTGGCGGACTCTAGGCTGGCTGATTATGGATAACTGGGCACAGATAACTCCCATAATTTCTGGTACCTGAAGAGGAAAAAGAAATTACTAAGACTGTAATCCTGTAGGACACTGATGGCTATTGAGGATATTGTGGCCATTTCTGAAAGGTCCTAGGGGAGTGACTTCTTCTTAAAGACAGGGTCTTGCTCTGTTGCCCAGCCTGGAATGCAGCAGTACAAACACAGCTCACTGCAGCCTTGAGCCCCTGGCCTCAAATGATCCTCCCACTTCTGCCTCCCGAGTAGCTGGGACTATAGGCACACATCACCACACCCAGGTCATTGTTGTATTTTTTGTAGAGACAAGGTCTCTCTATGTTGCCCAGGCTGGTCTCGAACTCCTGGGCTCAAGTGATCCTCCTGCCTTGGCCTCCCAAAGTGCTGGAATTACAGGTATGAGCCCCTGCGCCCAACCCCTAGGGGGTGACTTTTAAACAAACTGTTTATTATTTTTTAAAGTTTATAATCAAAATCACTTAAAATACATCTGTATGTGTGTATACATATGTAAAGGATTTGGAAGGATTTATAATCAAAGCTGTCAATACTGTATTTTTGAGTGATAGAATATTAGATTTTTTGCTTCTGTATTTTTTCTAATTTTTCCTCAATAATTGATGTATTGATTTTACAACAAGACAAACTAATAAAAGTGTTGCAAGGAAGCTGGGCTTTTTTCCACTGTGACTCTTGAGAATGGCAGTGGAGTCCTTACCTATCTTCCTCCCAGAGATGTCCATCAGGCTCAGGTAAGGCAAACCGGAGCCATTGGGCTTTGGTCCATTTCTCTGCTTGGACCAGTCTTCCTACCCACAGATGCATGGGTTCCTGTCTCTGTGGAAATGTCACCTTCTCAGAGAGGCACACCTCAACCACTTAATATAAAATGGCCATCATGAGCACCAGTAGGCTGGGCACGGTGTCTCATGTCTCATGGCGGTAATCCCAGTACTTTGGGAGGCTGAGGCAGGCGGATCACTTGAGGTCAGGAGTTTGAGACCAGCCTTGCCAACATGGTGAAACCCCATCTCTGCTAAAAATACAAAAAATTAGCTGGGCGTCATGGCAGGTCCCTGTAATCCCAGCTACTTGGGAGGCTGAGGTGGAAGAATCACAGCAACCTGGGAGGTGGAGGTAACAGTGAGCCGAGACTGCACCACTGCACTCAAGCTTGAGCAACACAGCAAAATGCTGCCTCCAAAAAAAAAAAAAAATTCTGGCTAACACAAGGGTAAATTTACTGAGGTTTTGGGGAAAGATTCTCTTCCCTGAATAAAGACATAAAAAGGAAGGCAACATCTTTCTTCTTCTTGGACATAGTCTACTCTGCTCAGAAAGTCCAAAATTGCTCCGACTACCTTATGACCACATGAATAGACAAGGTAGAAGGATGAAGAAACCCCTGGGTCTTTGATAACACCGTTGAATCACTGAATTAATCTTGGAAAATACTCTGTGTCCAGACTTGTTATTATGTGAGAGAATAAATCCTTTGGCTAAGCTTCTACCTGCTGTGCTTTTTTGCTGCTAAAAGCACCCAACTGATACAAATGCCCATCTCACCATGCTCGTATAATGTCATTCTTTTTGCATCTTTGCGATTTTAATAGGGTAAAAAAAAGGGTGCTCATCATTTGTTGTTGTTGTTTTTAAATTTATTTTATTTGTTGCTGTTTTTTGAGACAAGATCTCCTTCTGTCGCCCAGGCTGAAATGTAAAGGCATGATCATGGCTCCCTGCAGCCTTGTCTTACTGGGCTCAAGCACTCCTCCTGCCTCAGCTTCCCAAGTAGATGGCAACACAGGTGTGTGCCACCATGCCTGGCTAATTTTTAAAAATTTTTTTGTAGAGATGGGGTCTCACTATGCTGCCTAGGCTGGTCTTGAACTTCTGGGTTCAAGCAATTTGCCTGCCTCAACCTCCCAAACTGCTGGGATTATAAGTGTGAGCCACTACACCCAGCCGGTTCTCATCATTCTTAAATTACTTTTTATTTGTACCCAAGTACAATATGGGAACACAATTTAAAAAGTCCAGTGGCATTTCAAGCTTCTTTCCTCCCTCTTCCTCGGGTCTTTTCTCCAGAGACAAGGGTTCTTTTACCCCTTTTGTCTCTTCCAGCATATCCTTCTCTATTTCTAAATAACATAACTATATAGTTACTTCTTGATGTTTTAATTTTATATACATTTAGATAAATTCTCTTAATTTTGATTTCTAAGTCTGCCTCCTTCTAGGGTCACTTATGGCTTTTTATTTACTTTTATTTATTTATTTATTTATTTTGAGACAGGGTCTCACTCTGTTGCCCAAGCTAGAGGTGCAATCTCAGCTCACTACAGCCTCCGCCTCCTGGGTTCAAGCAATTCTCCTGCCTCAGCCATCCAAATAGCAGGTGTGCACCATCATACCTGGCTAATTTTTGTATTTTAAGTAGAGACAGGGTTTCGCTATGTTGCTGAGGCTGATTTCGAACTCTTGAGCTCAAGCCATCTGCCCGCCTTGGGCTCCCAAAGTGCTGGGATTACAGGCATGAGCCACTGCGCCCGACCACTTACAGCTTTTTAAATCTTGATACCTTTAACCCATCTGGATGAGTATCTAAATTAAAGTATTCTCATATGTGTTACTTATATCTCCCCAGAAAAACTCTACTCTTATAGAAAATATGGACCACAATTTTTTTTTTTTTTTTTTTTGAGATGGAGTCTCGCTCTGTCGCCCAGGTTGGAGTGCAGTGGTGCGATCTTGGCTCACTGCAACCTCCACCTCCCGGGTTCAAGCGATTCTCCTGCCTCAACCTCCTGAGTAGCTGGGACTACAGGCACATGCCACCACGCCCAACTAATTTTTGTATTTTTAGCAGAGACAGGGTTTCACCGTGTTGGCCAGGATGGTCTTGATTTCTTGACCTCGTGATCCACCCACCTCAGCCTCCCAAAGTGCTGGGATTACAGATGTGAGTCACCACACCCCGTCATGGACCACATCTTAGATTTAAAAAAAAATCTCCCTCTCTAGTTACAAACACAGTGATTGTTTGGTATATGTTTATAGAATGGATATTCGTGACTAAACAGACTAAGGCTTTGACCCTGTATCCACGAGTAGTCATTCTCAGCTGAATAGGACAAGCAGAGACTTCAGTAGCTGCAGAGATGAAGAGGTCCTACTGGCTTTTTGAACCCAGGAAACAGACACTGAAAGTTTACCTTCTCAAATCGGAACTCTGCATTTTCCGCCAAAGTTAGCAGTAATTCTCCTGCTGATAGCTGGATGCAGGGATGATTCAGGTTTTTCAGGGTATCAAATGTAGTCATTATAAACTGGCAGAGCTCATCTGAATCGAGAAAACCTTCAAAGATCTGAAATGATGTAGGAAAATGAATTTCCAAGAAATATGGAAATATGGTATGATAGAAAGTGCCCTGAACAAGGACTCGAGTCTAAGTTAACAATTAGAGAAGTGGACAAAGATGTACAAGGCTGTTTTATTTGAGTCTTGTGGTTTGGTTTTGTTTTTGGAGATAGCATCTTACTCTGTCACCCAGGCAGGGGCACAATCATGGCTCACTGTAGCCTCAACCTCTTGGGCTCAAGTGATCCTCCTGCCTCAGCCTTCTGAGTAGCTGAGGCTACAGGCACCTGCTACCACACTCTGATAATTTTTAGATTTTTTGGTAAAGACAGGGGTCTCACTATGTTGCCCAGGCTGGCTGTGAACTCTTGGCCCAAGCAATCCTCCCGCCTCAGCCTCCCAAAATGTTGGGATTATAGGCGTGAGCCATGCACCCAGCCCAGTCTTGTTTATTATGGTAAAAAGGTGGAAGCAATCCAAATGTCCACTGCTAGCATCTGTGCATGGACTTTTGCTGCTCTGACACTGAGGCTGGAGTGCAGTGGTATGATCACAGCTCACTGCAGCCTGGACTCCCAGGCTCAAGTAATCCTCCGACTTGTTTCCTGAGAAGCTAGGACTACAGGTATGCACCACCACACCCAGCTAATTTTTTTATTTGTAGAGATGGGTCTCGCTATGTTGCCCAGGATGATCTGGAATCCTGGGCTCAAGTGATCCTTCTGCCTCAGCCTCCCTAAGTGCTGGGATGACAGGGGTGAGCCACTGCACCCAGCCTGCTGCTCTGACATTTAGAAAGAAGTTTTATTGGCCAGGTGCAGTGGCTCATGCCTGTAATCCCAGCTCTTTGGGAGTCTAAAGCGGGAGAAACACTTGAGCCCACGATTTGAGACTAGCTGCTTGGCCAACATGAAGAAAACCTGTCTCTACCAAAATGAAGAAACCCTGTCTCTACTAAAAATACAAAAATTAGTTGGGTGTGGTGGTGCATGTCTGTAATCCCAGCTACTTGGGAGGCTGAGGGAGGAGAATCACTTGAACCCGGGAGGCAGAGGTTGCCGTGAGATGAGATTGTGCCACTGCACTTCAGCCTGGGTGACAGAGCGAGACTCTGTCTCAAAAATAAAATAATAAAATAAAAAAAATAATAAAATAAAATAAAATAAAATAAGCCTGGCATAGTGGCTCACGTCTGCAATCCGACTACTTTGGGAGGCTGAGGCAGGTGGATCACCTGAGGTCAGAGTTCAAGACCAGCCTGACAAACATGGAGAAACCCTGTCTCTACTAAAAATACAAAATTAGCTGGGCATGGTGGCAAATCCCAGCTACTCAAGAGGCTGAGGTAGGAGAATCGCTTGAACCCAAGAGGCGGAGGTTGCAGCGAGCCAAGATTGAGCCATTGCACTCCAGCCTGGGCGACAAGAGTGAAACTCCGTCTCAAAGAAACACCTCTCCTCAAACAAAACAAAACAAAACAAGAAAAGAAAAGAAAAAGAAGCTGTATTATGAGATCTTCAGAAAGAGTCACACTTTTATAGGATAGGACTTTAAAAAAAAGGCCCTAATGTTACACAGCTGACAGGTTCCCAGGCATAATTAAAATGCCTTGTCTGGAGACAACATACCAAAAAATGTGTCATTCTGTCTTTCTTTGCATTTAGTAGTAGATAAAGTCCTTCACATGATTATAATAGGCTTAATTGACTGGGCACTTACTAGTACATTTTTTTTTTTTTTTTGAGACGGAGTCTCGCTCTGTCGCCCAGGCTGGAGTGCAGTGGCCGGATCTCAGCTCACTGCAAGCTCCGCCTCCCGGGTTCCCGCCATTCTCCTGCCTCAGCCTCCTGAGTACCTGGGACTACAGGTGCCCGCCACCTCGCCCGGCTAGATTTTTTGTATTTTTTAGTAGAGACGGGGTTTCACCGTGTTAGCCAGGATGGTCTCGATCTCCTGACCTCGTGATCCGCCCGTCTCAGCCTCCCAAAGTGCTGGGATTACAGGCTTGAGCCACCGCGCCCGGCCGTAAATTTTTTTTTTTTTTTTTACAATTTACACTGTTTACAATTCAGTCGTGGTTTAGCAAAGCATTTTCCATACGATATCTCATTTAACCACGACTGAATTGTAAACAGTGTAAATTAAAAAAAAAAAATTGTAAAACCTGTCCCAATTTTTACAGATCTCCATCGTGCAGATGAGAAAATTGATGTGCAGAGAGATGAAATTACTTGGTACTTTTCACCCCACATGAGTAAGATCCGTGGGTTTTCTTTATTTTCCCCTAGCCCCTAGAATGCCTGGTACCTAGTGGATGTATAAGTATTTATTGAATAATGCATAACTACATTAATTTAAAAGTGTCTGGCTTGTTGGATCAACCATACTCTCTTGCAGCTCCTTTTGGGGACCAGCATTTACGTTTGCAAGACACTGGCGATTATTAATAGTAGGAGCAGAGCTGATATGAAGTGAAATCCAGGGATACTGGCCTCAATGGCAGGTTGACCTTAACCCCCAAATTAAGAGGGCAAGGGGTATATGGGCCAGGATCCTGGTGCCTTGTCTTCAAACTATGGAATGTTTAGAGACCACATTCCTTGGGCAATTGTGTATGGTTTTGTTTTATAAGAAATGACCAGAACTTTTTCCAAAGTGGTTTTTACTATTTTACATTTCGATGAATAAACACAGGAGACTTCTGGTTGTTCCCCACCCTTGCCAACACTTCTGGCTATGGTTGTAATTTTAGCCATTCTTATTACCTGGGCAATTCTGAAGGGACAGCTGTAGAAGCAGCATTTAGCGGCCAAGCCGTAGAGCTCCAGGAATTCTCGACATTTTGTCAATGCTCTTTTCAAGTTTTGCTGATTTTTCTTGTCATGTATGATATCTGAAAAGAAAATATAAAATATGAATACTTTGTGGCTTCTTTTTTTCTTCTTGATTTTACAGGTCTGCTTGATCTCCAGTTTAAAGTGGATCCCAAGATCTTACTCTTCTTCTTTTTCACTTGAACAAAAATGCCTGGGGGAGGGAGTATGTGTTCATCTGAAGGCTGATTTATTTCTCTTTTCTTGTAGAACAATATATAAAAAGAGCCAAAAGAAAAAGCAAAGAGGAGGTCGAGGCAGGTGGATCACTTGAAGTCAAGAGTGTGAGACAACCCTGGCCAACATGATGAAACTCTGACTCTACAGAAAAATAAAAAAATGAGCCGGGCATGGTGGCACTCTCCTGTAGTCCCAGCTACCTGGGAAGCTGAGGTGGGAGGATCACTGGAACCCAGGAGGCAGAGCTTGCAGTGAGCCGAGATCACACCACTGCACTCCAGCCTGAGTGACAGAGTAAGACCCTGTCTTTTTTTTTTTTTTTTTTTTTTTTGAGACAGAATTTAATTCTTGTTGCCCAGGCTGGAGTGCAATGGCGTGATCTCGGCTCACTGCAACCTCTGCCTCCTGGGTTCAAGTGATTCTCCTGCCTCAGCCTCTTGAGTAGCTGGGATTACAGGCATGTGCCACCACACCCAGCTAATTTTGTATTTTTAGTAGAGACGGGGTTTCTCCATTTTGGTCAGGCTGGTCTCGAACTCCTGACCTCAGGTGATCCACCCACCTTGGCCTCCCAAAGTGGTGGGATTACAGGCACGAGCCACAACATCCAACCGACCCTGTCTTTAAAAAAAAAAAAAAAAAAAAAAAGCAAGAGCAAAGAGTTTTTTGTAAGAGCAGAGCATTTGAGTGATTTGTGAGTACAACCAAAGCATGCTACCTTATTTCCCCTCAACGGTGAGGAATGGTGAGGGGTCTCCCTATGAAGCTTAGGTTCCCAGAAAAAATTGCCCAACTTTATATTACGTATGATAATTCTGATATCAGAACTCTTCATCATTGTCTAGTTTTGCTGATCATTGTAGTGTCTTGTTTTTCTTGTGTTTTATTGTGACCTCATATTTGCTGGAAATTTGTAGATGGAAAATTTATCTTTGAGCCCTTGGCTGAGGATACTCTCTCTCCAACTAGAAAATAAGCTCCCTGGGGGAAGGCATCTTGTCTGTCTCGTTTAGCGATGCATCACTAGAACAATAAATGCTCCATAACTATTTGCTGAATCAATAATCAACTGTATTTCTTTGGCTGTACACCTGGTAGAGACTGCTCATATTCAGAGGTACCCAATGACAGGACAGTTGCTTTGGGAAGCATGGAGCTTCCTTATCCATGTGAAGTGCAAACCCAGGCAGAGGAATTACAGTTGTGTGTAGCTTAACAATTGGGATACATTCTGAGAAATGCACTGTCAGGCTACTGCATTACTGCATGAACATCACATAGAGTGTACTTTTTTTTTTTTTAGACAGAGTCTCTCACTCTGTCACCCAGACTGGAGTGCAGTGGTGCAATCTCGGCTCACTGCAACCTCCACCTCCCAGGTTTAAGTGATTCACTTGCCTCAGCCTCCTGAGTAGCTGGGACTACAGGCATGCGCCACCACACCAAGCTAATTTTTGTACTTTTAGTAGAAACGGGGTTTTGCCCTGTTGGCCAGGCTGGTCTTGAATTCCTGACCTCAGGTGATGGACCTTCCTCGGCCTACCAAAGTGCTGGGATTACAGGCATGAGCCACTGCGCCTGACCTAATTTTTTTTTTTCTTTACATTCTAAAGTGTTTTTGTTAAAAACTAAGACAAAAACACACACACTAGCCTAGGCCTGCACAAGATCAGGATAATCAATACCACCGTCTTCCATCTTCACATCCTGCCCCACTGGAAGGTATTCAGGGCAGTAACACGCATGGAGCTGTCATCTCCTATGATAACGCCTTCTTCAGGAATACCTCCTGAAGGGCCTGCCTGGGGCTGTTTCATAGTTAACTGTTTTTTTAATAAGTAGAAGGAGTACATGCTAAAATAACCATAAAATGTATAGTAAATAAATAAACCACTAAATAGTTATTACCATTACCAAGGATACATACTGTACATAATTGTAGGTTCTATACTTTTATATGACTGGTAGTGCAGTAGGTTTGTTTACACCAGTATCACCACAAACTGGTAGCAGCAGGTTTGTTTACACCAGTATCACCACAAACGTGAGTAATGTATTGCATACAATGTTATGATGGCTACAATGTCACTAGGTGATACAAAATTTTCAGCTTAGCTGGGTATGGTGGTGGACACCCATAGTCCCAGCACTTTAGAAGGCTGGAGTAGGAGCACTGCTTGAGCTCAGGAGTTGGAGACCAGCCTAGGCAACATAGTGAGACTCTGCTTTTTATTCCCTTTCTCTTCACTCTCTCTCTCTCTCTCTTTTCAGATGGAGTCTCGCTCCACACAGGCTGGAGTGCAGTGACATGATCTCAGCTCACTGCAACCTCTGCCTCTCAGGTCCAAGTGATTCTCCTGCCTCAGCCTCCCAAGTAGCCACCCCACCCAGCTAATTTTTGTGTTTTTAGTAGAGACGGGGTTTCACTGTGGGGTTGGCCAGATGGTCTTGATCTCTTTGACCTTGTGATCCGCCTGCCTCGGCCTCCCAAAGTGCTGGAATTACAGGTGTGAGCCACCGTGCCAAGCTGAGACTTCCTTTCTTTAAAAGAAAATAATAATAATAAGGCTGGGCGTGTGGTTCATGCTGTAACTTAGCACTTTGGGAGGCCGAGGCGGGCAGATCACTTAAGGCTAGGAGTTCGAGACCAGCCTGGCCAACATTGGCAACATTTAGCAGAGATGTTGAAACCCCATCTCTACTAAAAATACAAAAATGAGCCAGGTGCTGGTGGCAGCGCCTGTAATCCCAGCTACTCGGGAGGCTAAGGCACAAGAACTGCTTGCACCTGGGAGGCAGGAGGTTGCAGTGAGCTGAGATCACACCACTGCACTCCACCCTGGGCAACAGAGCGAGACTCCATCTCAAAATAAGATAAAATAAAAGAAAAAGAAAAATGTCAGCTCCATTCTAATCTTATGTGACCCAGACATGATCAGTTGTTGACTGAAATGTCATTATATGCTGCATGACTGTACTGGGCAGGGATGGAGTAGGCTGAGATTCAAACACCGGGGGAATGCTGGGTTAGATATCTTCTAAAGTCCCTTCTAATCATGGAAGTCAGTGACTCATGCCTTGACCACACTGGCCCTCTCTCTATTTTTCAAACTCCTCAAGCTCACTCCTACCAAGGATCCTTTCCTTAGTCATTCCTTCGGCTTAATACACTCTTCTTACCTGTCCAGGTGGCAAACTGCTCTTTATTCTCTGGATTACCTTTTCTGAACCCTGCAACTAGATTTGATTCTTACTCATGGTCCCTGTAATTTCCCTTCATAAGGACATTAATTCTCCTGCAGCCTCGACCTCCTGGGCTCAAGCGATTCTCCCACCTTCACCTCCTGAGTAGCTGAGATCATAGGCATACTCCACCATGCCAGCTAATTTTTAAAATTTTTTGTAGAGAAGGGTTTTTGCCATGTTGCCCAGGCTGGTCTTGAACTCCTGGGCCCAAGCGGTCCACCCGGCTTGGCCTGGCAAAATGCTATGAATATAGGAGTGAACCACTGTGCCCAGCCTCACTCCTACTTCTGACCAAACTAATCACTCTAGTTTGTCCACAGAGCCACGTTTAGCCACTCCCTGGCTATGCAGATGGATGACAATAGTGGGTCTGATCTAGTATTAGGATTCTAATTATTAAGTCAGTGTTGCTTCATCTCTGCCTATGGACTATGTATCTTTCTCTTTATGAACTACTGTAAAAGGCCTTTCCAGAACATGGGGACTGAATCAATGTGTAAGGAGGGCTGGTGCTTATGTTGTGCTGGAGAATTCACTCAGGACCTCGCGGCCTTCAGCAGTGTCTTACACTTCAGCCTCAGGGTGATATGCAGCAGGTAGTAAATGCTCTCTGCAGCCTCCTCAGCCACCTTTTCCTGTGGGTCCCCACAGAGCAGTGCCATCAGAGCCACTAGGTGCCCAAGTCTTTGGAATCGCAGCGGAAGCTTGAGAAAGAAAAAGAAAGATGTCATCAGAATACATGTGCATTTAGTGCCTTTGATTTGAATTGTTGAGAAGTAATCCCAATTCTACTCCCAACTTAAGGGAAGTGTAAGGGTCACAATCAGCCTGTGGATCTCTGTAGGGTTCATATTTAACATAGGTAGACACGGTATAGCCAGTAGATGGTGTTATTAAGAAATAGGGGAATTCTAACCTAAGTAAACAATCTGAAAAATGAAAAAGCTTTGTGCATAAAGATGTTAATTCTAGCACTGTTTTTATTTTTATTTTTTAATTTTAATTTTTCGGAGTACGTAGTAGGTCTATATATTTGTGGGGTATACAGGCCTGCAATGCATAATAATCACATCATGGAAAATGGAGTATCCACCCCCTCAAGCATTTATTCTTTGTGTTATAAACAGTCCAATTATATTCTTTTAGTTATTTTAATAATTTTTTTTTTTTTTTGAAACAGAGTTTTGCCCTTTTCGCTCAGGGTGGAGTGTAGTGGCGCGATCTCAGTTCACTGCAACCTCCGCCTCCCGGGTTCAAGTGATTCTCCTGCCTCAGCCTCCCAAATAGCTGGAATTACAAGTGTGAGCCACTGCACCCAGGTGATTTTTGTATTTTTAGTAGAGATGGGGTTTCGCTGTGTTGACGAGGCTGATCTCAAACTCCGAACCTCAAGTGATCCACCCGCCTCAGTCTCCCAAATTACAGGCCTGAGCCACCACAGCTGGCCAAATATACGTACATTTAATATTACCAAATAAAAATGCATTACATTTTTAATATTATTAAAAAATTACTAATGCACAATAGTCACCCTGTTGTGCTATAAAATATTAGGTCTTATTCATTCTAACAATGGTTTTGGTACCTATTAACCATCCCCACCTCTCCCCAACCCTGCCACCACCCTTCCCAGCCTCTGATAACCATCCTTCCATTCTCTATCTTCATGAATTAAACTGTTTTGATTTTCAGATCCCACAATATGTGAGAACATGTGATGTTTGTCTTTCTCTGCCCAGTATATTTCACTTAGCATAACGACCTCCAGTTCCATCCATGTTGTTGCGAATGACAGGATCTCATTCTTTTTATGGCGGAAGAGTACTTCATTGTGTATAAGTACTTCATTGTGTATTCTTTATCCATTCATCTGTTGATAAACACTTAGGCTGCTTCCAAACTTTGGCTATTGTGAAGAGTGTTGCAACAAACAAGGGAGTGCAGATATCGCTTCCATATACTGATTTCCTTTCTTTGGGGTATACACCCAGCAGTGATCTAAAGACCACACTTTGGAAATAATTGCATGACAATAGTAAAGGGAATTATCCTACAGCCAGTCTATGAATACAACCATTAAAAATCAAGTATCTAAGAATGTATAATGTGTTATTCTGCTAAGTAAAAAAGCTGAATGCGGCCAGGCGTGGTGGCTCATGCCAGTAATCCCAGCACTTTGGGAGGCCGAGGTGGGCGGATCACCTGAGGTCAGGGATTCGAGACCAGCCTGCCTCGCCAACATGGCGAAACCCCATGTCTACTAAAAGGACAAAAATCAGCCAGATGTGGTGGCAGGCAACTGTAATCCTAGCTATTCAGGAGGCTGAGGCAGGAGAATCGCTTGAACTTGGGAGACGCAGGTTGTAGTGAGCCAAGATCACGCCACTGCACTCCAGCCTGGGTGACAGGAGTGAGACTCCACCTCAAAATTAATACATACATACATACATACATACATACATACATAAAGTAAAAAATAAAAATAAAAAGCTGAATGCAAAGTTGAGATATAGCACTTAATTCTATTTATAAAATTCATTTTTTTAACAACCTGCTTGATTATGGAAAAAAAACCATGTAATGTAGCTGGCAAAAATCATACCAGAAAAGGAAATATAACTTGAAATAAATACTGAAGAAAACTGGATAAATTTAAAAATTGGCTGGGCGCAGTGGCTCACACCTATAACCCCAGCACTTTGGGAGGCCAAGGCGGACATATCATTTGAGGCCAGGAGTTCAAGACCTGCCTGGCCAACATGGTGAAACCCCGTATCTACTAAAAATACAGAAAAATTAGCTGGGCGTGGTGGTGCATGCCTGTAATCCCAGCTACTCGGGAGGCTGAGGCAGGAGAATTGCTTGAGCCTGGTAGGTGGAGGTGGCAGTCAGCCAAGATTGCACCACTGCACTCTGGCCGGGGCGACAGAATGAGACTCCATCTCAAAATAAATAAATAAATAAAAATTAAAAACTTAAAAATAATAAAAATAAAACATTAAAGTAGAAAAGATAAATGAAGTTAGGAATTTGGTTGGCATGCAGAATGCATAATCATTTGCTTGAGGTAGGCCAAGGAGCAAGGCTCTGAACTCTCTCATGGCGAATGTAGACGCACACACAATGGTCCACAGAACATGATTCACGCTGTCCTTAAGATAAAAAGCGGCCGGGCGCGGTGGCTCACGCCTGTAATCCCAGCACTTTGGGAGGCCGAGGCAGGTGGATCACGAGGTCAGGAGATCAAGACCATCCTGGCTAACACGGTGAAACCCTGTCTCTACTAAAAATACAAAAAATTAGCTGGGTGTGGTGGCGGGCACCTGTAGTGCCAGCTACTTGGGAGGCTGAGGCAGGAGAATGGCGTGAACCCAGGAGGCGAAGCTTGCAGTGAGCCGAGATGGCACCACTGCACTGCAGACTGGATGACAGAGCGAGACTCCGTCTCAAAAAAAAAAAAAAAACAAAAAAACAAAACAAAAAAAAACAAGCAACTAGCCACACAGAAGAAGCACAGCTTTTCCTAGGGTTGAGATGGAAAGAAATTTCTTCTGTGGCTCTACAGAAATAAGACACAGAAATATTGTGAACAGCCTTTACAACAGTAAAGTAAACACAGCAACACACAAAGCTGTGTAACATCTTTAATTCACTGATATAACCTTCATTCATTCAATCAACCAAAAAATACAGTGTCAGTTATGTGCCAGGAACTATGACTGGCACTGGGGATATAAGCAGTGAACAAAAGAGAATATCCCTGCTTGCGGAGGTGATGATCTAGTTAGGGAAATACAAAGTAAACAAAATGGATACGTAAAATGTTATTATGTATCAAATGATGATAAATGTCATGATTAACAAAAATTCAGGGGAAAGGGATAAGAATTGTTTAGGATAGTCAGGGAAGGCCTCACTAATACTGATATAAGAGACTGAGCCACGGAGATACCCAGGAGAAGAGCATTCTGGGCAGAGAGAATGCCAAGTGCCAAGGACTGAGATGGGTGTGTTTGGTGTTTCTGAGGAACCATAAGTAGGTGAGATTGGCTGGAGCAATGTAAATGAGAAGGAAAGAAATAGGAAGTAGATAAAGAATGGGCCAGAAGGTGTTGCAACTGTAGAATGTTGTGAGGACTTTGGCCAGCGGAGGGTCTTGAGCAGAGAAGGGACATGGGTTGACTTACATTTACTCAATCAATACTGAATTGAGCATCAACCACATGGCAGATTCTGTGCTAGGCAGGCACTGGGGCTACTGTGGTGAACAAGACAAGTATAATTGCAAGGTACAGTGGCTCATGTCTGTAATCCCAGCATTTTGGAAGGCAGAGGTGGGAGGATTGTTTGACCCCAAGAGTTTGAGACCAGCTTGGGCAATATAGTGAGACCCCATCTGTATAAAAAATTAAAAAATTAACCAGGCATGGTGGTACATGCCTGTAGTCCCAGCTACTAGGGAGGCTAAGGCAGGAGCATTGCTTAAGGCCAGGAGGTTGAGGCTGCAGTAAGCCATGATCGTGCTACTGCACTCCAATCTGGGTGACAGAGCGAGACCCTGTCTCACAAAAAAAAAAAAAGAAAAGAAAAGAAAAAAAAAACAGAGAAGCATAATCACTGGTAGAATTTATACTTTATTAGTGGGAAACAGATAACACAGCAACAAAGGAAGAATGAAGCCAGATAACCTCTGATTCTAGACAGCCCTAGGAAGGAGAGAGAGATGAGACAGAGAGCAAACGTAGGTCTGTCTGCGGTGAGCAGAGGCCCTTTTGAGGTCGAGACATTTGAACACAGTGCTAAGGAACCAGGAGAGGCTGGCTCTGGGCAGAGCTAGGGAAGGTCACTCCAAGCAGAGAAGGCAGCAAGTGCAAAGGCCATGAGGCAACATGAGCCTTATGTGGGAAGGAACATAAAGGCAGCTGCTGTGTGGTAAGTCAGGGGACTTAGGTGTAGAGAGGCAGGCAGAGCTACATCAGACACGACCCCATATTCTAAGATCAGTTTGGAAATCACTGGATGAAACAAGTGACATGAGGAAAAAAAAGAAAATGAAGAAAAAGAAAACACAGGGGAGAAAGCAAAGAAACAAGCAAGAATGACATGGGTCTGAAGAGGATGACTCTGGCTATATGCAGAGAACAAATTGGGAGTGGAAGCCCCCACCCCAACACACTCATGCACAAAAAAGAACTTGGAAGGTGTCAGGCGTGGTGGCTCTGCCTGTAATCCCAGCACTGTGGGAGGCCGAAGCAGGCAGATCACTTGAGGCCAGGGATTTGAGACCAGCCTGGCCAACATAGTGAGACTCTGTCTCTACTAAAACTACAAAAATTAGCCAGGCGTGGTGGCCTGCACCTGTCACTGAATGACAAACAGTTAATAAGTTTTATAATCATAATATTAAGAACCCCAAACTTTATCAAGACAAAAAAGGCCACTGAAGAATTATGCTCCTAGTTTGATTACTAAATGCTTCTTTAATATTTCCTTTTTTCATTCTTTATTCTTTAGGTTTCTTTGAGAATATGAGAAAAGTTAGAGACCCAGATAATATATATCTGTCAAAACTCATTGAACTGTACACTTAAATTGGATAAATTCATTGTATATAAATTATATCTCAATAAAATTGGTTTAAAAAAAACTATGGACCTTCCTCAGAAAAATCCAGAAGAGGATGGGTGCAGTGGCTCATGTCTGTAATCCCAGCACTTTGGGAAGCCAAGGGAAGAGGATCACTTGAGCCCAGGAGTTTGAGACCGGCCAGGGCAACATGGTGAAACTCCATCTCTACAAAAAAGTATACAAAAATTAGCCAGGCGCAGTGGTGTGTGCCTGTAGTCCCAGCTACTAGGGAGGCTGAGGCAGGAGGATTGCTTGGGCCTGGGAGGTCAAGGCTTCAGTGAGCCATGACCATGCCACTGTACTACAGCCTAGGTGACAGAATGAGATCCTGTCTCAAAAAAAAAAAGGAAAATCCAGAAGACTGCA